AGCACAGGGTTCAGCACAAATTGCTGAAATAAATGCTTTGCATTTGGAGATAGACTGCAGCCTGAAGGGAGGTCCATGGTGCTGTGGGTACACTGTAGCAGTACCCAGACTAGAGTAAGTTGGCTAAGGTATGTCCATGAAAGCTGCAGTCACAGCAGCAACTGCCATACGGCCACGCTCGTGTGACCTGCTGCCTGACCTTGCCTAAATCACTGCCAGGGCCAGCACGACAACCGACTACACAAAGACAGTGCTGACCCGCTTGTTAAAGCACTGCTGTGAGCACAGTCTGTGAGCTGACACTCATCAATCTGCAGAATTACATTAATCAGTAAAATCTCCTTACAAACATATTGGATCTATGTGGCTATGCTGAGAGGCGAGTGGGTTGTTCAGAGTTTTAAACAGTCATTTGGTCCAATGTTCTGCATAAACTGTCCCTGTCCCCACTTGCCTCATCTAATGTCTCTGTATACCTTTCCCCGCCGTCACTGCTTTTGGCCTTATCACTTATTTAAGCTTTTTTTTTTTCCCCCTGCAATGACCACCAGGTACCAAAACCTCTCCCTGACTTAGAACCCACAGCCAGCAGCTTTCCTGGACTTGAATTTCTGCTGGCAAGCCATTGCCATTAAGAGTGCCTTAAGAAATGAGCTGTTTTGTAATGACTAAGTAACCGTGGGTAGCCTTAAAAGAAGGTTCATTATCAAGGTACTGCCAACCATGAAGCTGGCATCCTTCCCTGCAAGTTGTACATCCACTCCCTCTGTCAACTCAAGTATCTTTTAAAGACTTCTTTGAAGCAGGGATTGCTCTTTCCATTACATTCCAGAACCAAGCAGCAATCACCCATTTCAAGAATGCAACCAGCAAAACACTGTCTCAGTCCATTATGTTAATCAAACTGCAAAAATACTCAGTCCATCAGTATTTCCCTATCAAGCACAGACTTTGCTGTGCCAGTAGAGAGGGGGAAAAAGCCTTACTTCAGGGCATTCAGGGTTCAACAAGAGCCAACCCTAATCCTATAGGGTTTTCTGTACATGCTTGAGAGTGAGAGTTTAATCTCAAATAACATAACAGTATCTAGTTATAAGCTATTGGCATTTTCAGGCTTTTTTTTTTTTTTTTAAACTCGCATAGATTGCAAGGAAGAGTAAAATGTGTTCAAACCCAGAAATATGTTTGATGCCATGTGGAAATGACTTGGAAGGTGGTTGTTTCTTCATTATAATTCATAGCCACTTTCTGAAAACATGAGATTACTTTCATCTGAGGAAGGAATGACTGATCAAAACATACAGGGTTGCTGCTGTCCTGTCCGTTCATATTAGCCACCGGTGAAGTTTTAAAGCACACTGCAGCACCAGAGTGTTCCTCACACAACCTCAGTGCCTGCGTGCGCCACCAGCGCAACGGTGAACCTTGGGGTTACGTGTAGATCAGTGCACAAATGTAGCTGCACGTGCATCCACGTGTACATAAGTGGGATCATATGATTCTTGGGGACAACACTAGGAAAGCAGGAAGTGGGTCACTGTGACCTGGATGCCAAATAGACTACTGAAACCTCCTCCCTCAAACAGGCCTGTAAAATAGCAGGTTGAAATGTGGAAATGAATGCTTTCAAACAGCAAGGATTACTGTGTTCAACAGCCATAGGAAATCTGTGCTGGGGGTATGGGCAAGTATGGCAGGAGGTCCAGGTGCACTGAGGAAAGGGGCACAGAAGCTGCTGTGCACATCCCAGCACACCCCCATTAAAGACAAGGGCACCTCAGCACAACCTCTTCCATCATCACACTGCTTGTTTGCATCCAAGCCCTCATCTCTTGCCATGCCGCCGGATAGAACCTGCTTTATATACGTTAATACCTTTTATAAACATTAATTTGACAATTGCCAGCACAGCAGCTGCTCTATTCTTAATGAAAAACACAAAGATTATCCTGCCCTTCCTCCTCCATTTCCTTTCCCAAGCTTCACAATCCCCTGCACTAATTCACACAGTCTTTTCCTTCCTCCTCCAAACAATTGCTAGGGATATAATTATCCTTCCATTCATTTTGCAGGAAGTATTCCCCTTTCTACAAGCCTTGCTCTTCATCCACCCCTTATACTTCTTCCCAGGTTACATCCCCATTGTCCTGTCACACCCTTTTCAGTAGCCACTCCTGACTGCATAAGCCAAGGTTAGTTTTGGGAACCTGCTGCACCTGTAGCAGCAAAAGTGGCAGCAACGGCACACAGGAGACTGCCTCTCCAGGACAGTGACCTACCCTCTGTGCCCCTTAGGTGGTAGCTTCACTTCATCATTGCCTGAAAGCCTCTCAAAAAGTTAGGGCTCTCTTCTTCATCAACCCAAGTTTTCCAGGCCTGTGTTACTTAGCACCAGCTAAAATACGAACACAAAGTACTTCCCAAGCTAAAACGAAGACAAAACAGCTGGATACATGCAACTAAGAGGGACTACCAGGAAGCACCACCACTCTGCACAGCCTCACCTTGGCATCTGCTTTCCTAGGGGCAGTCTTTCTGGAGGCACTGTCACAAAGCAGAGTTGCAAGAGGGGTCTCCAAGAGAACAATGAAATGGCTCTGCCACCGTCTGAGCACAGGAAAGAATGTCAAGTAACTTACCTGCAGAATGAAATGGTAGGGCAATAGTGACAGCACCCTGTAGCAGCCAGAGGCTCCCCAGCCATTCAGCATGGTAGCAAGGGTGGAAGAGGCCAGGACAGCCTTGGAGTGATATATTCTTTACAATAAATACAACTGCTCCCCTCCACCAGGACAGACATCTCTAATCCAAACCATGCCGAATATAAAATAACTTCTATATCCAAATAAGATGGCTCAACTGCTTCCCAACTCCTTTCAATTTTCCTTCTCAGTCATAAATAAAGCGATACAAGGACTGCCATTCTTAATCATTTCTTTCTTCCCACAATATTCAGACTTGACAGCAACCAGTGCCCTAGCAGAGACTGCTTTTTTCCAACATGCCATATACAGCTCCCCAGCCAGGTTTTAGTTTACAGGACGCAATTGTTCAAAAACGTTGCACTAGACTATGTTCAGTGTTTTGGCAAAATACAAACACAGTTTGCCACAATTTACTACCTAAGTTGTTTTTCCAAAATCATTTCTTTGTGCATGTAAAGGAGTGAGTGAAAACAGACAAACTCAGTCCTTCAGGATGCACAATGGGAACTGAAGAGAAAAGGGATCTTACTGCTGCCAGGGGCTCCAAACAGCCTGGATTTCCTGACTCTCATCAGTCTGTTACAGTCCCTGGACTCCAGCTGCATAGTTTATATCTTTTATACTCTAAAAAGTGAGTATGTGCATATGAGTTTGGTCCTCACATGTATTTCCCTGCTGCCTTTTCAGGGAAACAGCTGCCCAGCAATCTTCCATCTTTTCCCAGGCTGCCCAGCAATCTTCCATCTCTTGTCATGCTAGGAAGAAATTTCAAACTCCACATTTACCAGCTCTAACCACCCCTTTCTAAAGTTTCCCAGACATAAGCAGCTCTGCAACACACACAGACTCCATACAGGCTTCAACACTAATACGCTGTGAGACTGGCAGCCACCCAAGCTGTGTGGGTTATCTACAGACACGAATGACTGAAATGGTTCCTGGTTTGCAGGGACTAGTGAGGAGACACAAGATTCCCAAATCAAAGAATGGGAAACACTAATCACAGAGCAGAAATATGGCTAAGTGATAAAACCTTCCTCTGTGAACGTCAGCACAGGCCTGTGAAGGCATGCCTTAAAAACTTCAGGTTAGTACACCTCCTTCCCACTGCTGTGGCCAGTGGTGTCCTTGGTTGTCACAGAGTTCAAGCTCAGACTACCAACTGGGCTACCACCACTCCTCTAAGAAGGGGAGAGAGGGATCTCTCCACTCATTTAAGAAATGATTGCTTTAAGCAACAAATACCATTATCTGATCTCCTGGTCAAATGAAATGTAAATATTCACTACAATCACTTCCAGTTCCATTGTGACCCTGAAAATACTCTGAACTATGTTTTCAAGGCTTAAGGGAAAAAATGCATGAAAAGTTGCTTTGATGAAGCATCACATGCTCTGGATATGGACTGCATACCCACTACTTAGAAACGCTGTCTGCACTGGACACCATCCATCTTGGAATATTCTTTGAAGAATTGACAGAAGTATGTGGAAGTTTGTGATAGATACACTTTCCCACTCTCGGATTTCTATAGCAATATACCTCACAGCACTCACATCTATTTCTGTGTGAAATACTCAAAAGTTGAAAAAATTCAATCTGCAACATGCAGCTCCTTCCCCATTAAACAAAAGGTAATGGTGCATTTCCAGCTGGATGTCTGGAGGAAAAAAAAAAAAAAACAAACCCACCAGTACCACCTCCCTCTTGCAGAATCCAAACTATACCAGGCAGGAGAGAAGTGTTAAACATTCATCAAAAAAGAAGCAGAATCTGAATTATGCAAATAGGGAGAAGCATTTGGATACCATTTCCTAGAAAATGTATGCTAACATCTGGGCTAACTGCACTAACCATCAGCTGAGATTCCACAGCAAAAAGATGCCACATGTCTGGTGACCTAGCTACCTATTCACAGTTTAGATATATACCGAGCAGCAGCTCATTGCCTCCTGCAAGAATTTCAGTTAGCTGAGCAGGGCAAAATATGTGACAGGACAGGCAAGAGTTAATGGCACACATTGCAACTGCGCACAATAAGACCCATGCTTGTTCTCCCTGGATCCTTATATTTGATCAGACACAACAAAATCTGGCCTGGTCAGTGAGGAGGAGTTTAGACAGAATCAGAAAGCCTTCTACAGCTCTAGGTACAAAATATGGGAAACATTTGAGATGTTACAAGTCATTAGCATAGTCCAATGTACTTAAAGGGTAATCACTATTTTGCCTTTTTTAGTGGCTTGCAATCATACCCCCTTGGCACTGGAACCCTGCCCCATACTGATGAAGTACCTTGGTTTTACCCAACTGCCAGTCTTTCTTGCTGCTGTCATAGGTGTGTAGAAAGCCTGCACATACAGCTTTGCTGTTGTCCGAGAGGCTTGCTCCCTTCACAAGCATCTTGTACCTAAGAACCAAAAAAAACTCGTGAGATTCTGTATGACAGTAATGCACCTCCAGCCCAATCTTTTAACTCTAATTTATCCTCCTCTCATTAGTCCTTCTTCCTCTGGGACCTCCCTTCTTCATGTTTGCCTTCTCATTTGGAAATTTCCATCCCCTAACCTTTATCTGTTCCTACCACACTGGCAATCATTGTTGCAACCCCAGAAATAAAATACAAACCCAACAGCATTTTTCAGTAAAGAACAACTGTCTTTCTGAAACATGCTTTCACTAGACACGAGTTATTTTGTTCAGTATAGGGGTGGCATTTAATGCTCCAAGAGACAAAAGAAGCAATGTTCAATGGTCCCTTCTAACCTTAAACCTCAAGAAATCTTTCTGATGCAGCTAATTGAAAGAAATAATCACTCTTTAACTATACTGTCCAGCCTGCCAGATTAAAGTTTTTAAGCATGATATTTTCTTTTTACATGTTATGACCAGCTGGGTTTCATAGCAGCACAGAAACAAATCTGTGGCAAAGGTAGGGAAAAAAAAATTAAAAATGGACCATCTGGCTAGTTTTCCATTCTTTTACCCTGAAGGCAAGTCTCCAAAAGGGCTTCCAAATCAGTCTGTGATACAGGCAGCAAGGCCATGGTTAGAAAAACATTCCACAAATGATCCATATCAGTAACTGCAGTTATTGAGGGAACAAACATATAGAATCACATACCTTGGGGCTGATACTGCATATGGTACAATGATAGCAATTACCTACTGAGAAAGTCCTGGAAAAGGCGTCGTATGGGGAAACCCGCTCTCCGAACTTTCACCGTCTCCAGCATCCCTGAGTATCGGAGCTGATTCAGCACCACATCTGGATTGAAGAGGTTTGGCGCCTATGTAATGATCCAGATTCAAAAACAAGTAAGAAGAGAGACACAGTAAGTGTTGATCTTGGTATTACTTCTTCGCTGATCTAAAAAGCAGCCGTTTCTCTGAGCACAGACAGTAACAGATTGTACATCCATTTCTCTGCAGAAAGTGAACCCTGCCTATCTGGGCACGCCAGGTGAAAAGGGGGAAGTTTGGGTCAAGAGGAAAGCAACCTCACAACACCACATGGTGCAGAAAAAGGGATGAAAGGGAGTTGGGCAGATCCTGAAAAAAAAAGTCTGCAAGCTGCTGTCATAGTCGGATCGTGGCAGTAAAGCAGTGATATAATGGATTAGCACATGCAAAGTGCACAGCTCTGACTCCGTTCTCTTTGCTGTCTCTTTCCAGTCAAACTGGAGAAAAATTGCAAAATTATTTTCTAGCATACAACCCCCATCAGGCTTTCCTCTGCCATATCACACACAGATTCAAAACGTGCCAAGAACATTTTCAGAGCTCTCCCCCACAATCTAGTTCATAGCATAGCCTCCTGTCATGGTTCACAATCCTAGTGAAAGCCAAGCTTGTCTCTAATCACTGTGACTTGCTTATGATGCGTCCACCCCTGCCTCCGAGCCAGGGATCTGCAGGACACGCTTCCTACCGCACAAGCCCTGCATTCCAGCACAAACTCTCTGCAGGCACCGCCAACAGGAGCGACTGCTTCTTCTATCACAGCTCTGGACTCTGCACAGCCTAGTTCATCTTCCAAGCTTCATAAGCACAGAAAGAAGTGTGAATGGCCATATCATATCATATCATATCATATCATATCATATCCTCAGCATGCTGTCTCTTCATCTGATTACCAGGAGGACAATGTATTTTTCCTCAACTATAAAGCTGCCATAAGGAAAAAACAGAAGGTGAGGGGAAACTGCTCGTATCCTCAGTTTGGAACCTATAGAGGTACCTGTCAGGCATTTGTGCAAGGGAGTGCTCATGTAGGCCTGTGTCACACACATATATTTTGCTGGAAGACAGACTTGCCTTTTCTGTATTTGGTTTGATGCAACGGATGAAGAATGGGTTGGAAGTGCTAAGTGTGGCCATCAGGGAATGGAGAGAATCCTGAAAAGCAGCAAGACAAAACCCAAAGGGTCAGTAACTACAGGAGGGAAAGGGACCACATTTGATGCGATAGGATCTTCTTGCAGCTCTCCCCACTCATAACGTCCCTTGACTCTGCCTATCAAGAATTCAATAACCCAGGAGATCCCTTACTGTCCAAAAACATACCCAGTTAGGTTACTCTAACACTGTTTACACGACCATCCTTGTCCTTAGAGCTGTATAGTTCATGCGTTATTTTCACAAGACTCTCAAACTTTACATATAGGGAACTAAAACTGTGAAACTAAAAGGAGGTTTGCAGACAGTCTAGGGGAATGAGATTCATACCTGCAAGTATGCTCAGTAAAGTTTTACTGGAATTGTCACTATACCTGGAAAAGATGTCCTAAAAGGATGCATACACTCAGCTGAAAAACCAAACCAACAGGAAAGATAAAGAACTTCATACCCTTAAGAAAGCACTCTTTTCCTGTCACCCTGTTCAGTCTTAGGATCTCACATTTTATAACAGACAGAAATCCTTAGGACAGTGGCACCTTTTTTTTTTTTATTTAGCACTACAACATTCCTGCACATTTTCAGCGCTGGACACAAAACAAGCATGACTGACTCCTCTTGGCTGCTGGCCTTGCTTTACCCATCTGCTCCTCCCCAGAAGCCTGCTGCTCTCTTGGAAAACATCCTACCCTGAACTGGGAGCTGACAGTCGGTCTGCGCCTCTGGGTGCCCATCTTCAGCGTCTCTTCACTGCATCGACTGCAGACTCTTTCAAACAGGTCATAGATGAAGTCCAGCCTAAGGGAGAAGAAAAGAAGTTAAGAAGATGCAAGACACCCACCACTGTGAGAAGGTGCCTCTCCTTCTCAGCTACTGCCCTGTCCTAGTGTGAAACACCACGTTCTTATTCCTTCTGTGCCACAAAGTGGCTCCAGGAGGCAGTGAGGAAATTAATACTCTCCATGTGACTGCCCCAACCCCGTGGGCTGCCATGTATGTCACACTGCTGCAAAGCCAGAAACACCATCTTGAACTGTCAAGCAGGATATTACACAAAGGAAGATCTCCATTCTGCACTGGCTAGGACACTTCCTTGAGGTACATGCCCCTGGGCAAAACCACCTTGAACACACTCCAGCTAGGCTGTGTGTTGTCACACCCCGTTCAACCTAGCACCTGTAACATGCTCGTGCAATTGCAGCCACAGCCCTTCTGTGGCCAGAGGACTCCTACAGTTACCTACAGTGTAGATCAGCTCTGAGGAATCTTCCACTGTTTTGCCTCTTGTTAGACAATCGTGCTGGTTCTTATGAAGTTGCACGAAGTTCTTCAGCACTGTTTGTGCCAGTTTATTGTTATGACTAATTATAGCAGAATTTCCCTTTCTGGCTTACTGAAAAACCCTGAGTCCCTCTATTACACTGGCCAATGATGACCACAATTCTGGCTTCAAGTCCTATGTAAAATGGTCCCCAGATGCCACTGTCCAACTAAGGCAGCTATGAGCAGCTCATACTCTTAGCTCCCTCAAGTTGTTCAAGGCTGCTCACAGTGCAAACTCTGCAGCAAGCTTCAGAGACAATGCAATGTTGAAACAGTATCATCAGGCTGAAAACCAAAGGCAACACATGGACTGTGGTAAGAGGCATGTGGTAGAGTTGCTACCCAAAAATTTCTAGGTCTGCCATGTTATTAAATGCCTCTCTGTCTACTGTCCCAATCTCTCTCTTCCAGACCTTGATCAAAGTCAAAATCAGCTCACTTCTCTAGAGTCATGCCGCAGCACTGAGGAAATAGGGGACACGCCTGGTCCCGCAGCAAGGGCTCAGTCTGGCTCAGAGTGAGGATGGAAGCTCTCCTCTAACAAGCAGGCTGGAAAACAAGCAGTCCCTGTACACAGGCTGGCCTATGACAGCATGGCAAAGAGCCTTGACTCATTCGGGGGCAAATCTGCCATTGTTGGGACAGGAAGGGAAGAGGAAGAGGAAAGGCAGAAGAGAGGAAGGAGAAAACTAGCTTTGTCTGGAGGGATTTCTGTCATGCTTTTATAGTTCTTTTCAAAACTGGGAGAACAAAAATGCTGATTAAATCTGTGCCTCATCTGACTTCTCCAGCTCTTCTTTCTTTTGCCAGGACACTTAAGCACAAAGAGAAGAATGATAAAGAATGATGCCTGATGCTCAGACAAAAGCAACTTCTTTCCTTGTTCTGGTTATTACCTGAATGTGGCTTAGTCCACCCCAAGAGATGTGGCCTGTTCACACGCGTACGGGGGACATACCTGCTGTCTTTCAGCATGTTTAAAATGTCATCTCGAAAGGTGTCTCTGTTCTTCTCCAGAAAGCCTCTCACATCATATAGCACCTGCAACACAGACAGCGCCACTAGAACAGTGCTGTACAAACCATTAAGCACTTCTACATTAACGTGCCAATGTACAAGACCTTCAGCAGAGCTACGCAGCAATGCTGCAGGCATGTGCCAAGATCTGAGTTTTTCGGATCAAAAAGCTCCAGAGCTCTGCAGTTACAGGCAAGAAAGTGGCTTTTAGCCATCAATTAAAAAAAAAAAAACCAACCAACCAATCACAACCCAAAAAAACAAACCAAGAGCAACAGCAAAAAAATCAAAACCAGGAGCCAAGTGAAGCAGCTGCAGAGATTTGCCTGGGAGGCGTGTGTATGTGTTGAAATTCTCTGCAAGGTGTGAGGTACTCCACTGACTTCAGGAAATACTAACTGCCACCCAGTGCCCTGATCTCCCAACTACTAGTGCTCAGCAGACATGGTTCGAGGAGGAGGTTAGCCTTTCTTAAGTGTGCAGGTGCCTTCCCTTGATACAACTCCATCTGCTCCATACCTCTCCATGACAAAGAGCAGCATTTAACCTTGAAGGCTTGGAGACCTTTTCCTTTTTACTCTGGATTTTGTTTATGAATGTCCAAGAAAAGACAACATGAATAACATAAGTGAGGAGGAGTTTATCCCACAAACTAAGAGCTACCTGAGAAACTCAAAAAAAATTCCAATTGGAGAATACAGTACTGAAGAATGACATGCTATTTTAAGCTGATCACAGTCCCTGTTCTCTGGCATGGGGCACTAATTGTGTGGAACCACACATCTCCGAGAGATATTTTTGACTTTTGGAATCTAAAATGAAGGTCCTTAAGCACAAGATACACCACTAACACCTACCTCCCCAGCATAATGCCTGATGCCAAACTGATGGTCTGTTACTCGAGGCTTCACATAGTAGTGGTTGCTCTGAAATGAAAGAAAAACAAGTCCTCTTACAATGCCAGTGTAAGACTAAATAGGCTCAGCCAGGAACTCTGCCATGACTGTGACAATGCTGGGATGGGCAAGGACCTTAACTGTTGCAGAGCCTGACCACATCTGCTGCAGCTATCTACAGCCACATTACAAATGTTATTCCAACAACATGGAAAAACCCAGCCCTTCAAGGAATGCTTCACGTGAACAAGAGGTTGCAGAAACAAGGTTAAGCAGGAAGTTAATTCTCGTATGTCTGACACCTGAAGAAACAGGGCTCCCCACAGACCATGTATGGCAGGACACGGGATCAGGATGCAGGGAAGATGGCAGAAAATCTACAACATCTTTTCTTTGCCAAAGGAAATAGCATACCAATTTCCTGTCTTCCTCTGGCACTCCTCTTCCCCTTTATTCGTTATTCATTTGTCCTTTCTCTTACTAGCTGTTCTACTCTCTCATTTCCCCCCTCCTTTCTTTGTTCTGTGAAAACTGTTAGCTATGTAAGAATAGAAACTGCTTGAGACCAGCAGCCCATCCAGCTGAGTATTCTGCCTCTAGCAGTGGCTATGTAGGGTAGGGTGGAGGAAGAACAAGGTGAGTAAACAATACTTTCATCCTAATACTCTCTCAAACTCCAGTTATTTCCATGTGGTCTGTCTAACTAGTAACCCCAAGTGGATTTCTCTTTGAAATACTTGCCCGTTCCACACTGGAACCCAGGTAGATACCTTGCACCCAGAGTGTCCTTTCACAGGGAGCTCTCAACGAACCTCACAGGGAACTACCACTGGTTTTAAGCATGGCTCCCATTAGTGCCATTTGTCTTTTATTGGCCATGTGTGACTTTTAAACCCCTAAGTCATATTTTCTCCACACTGCAGGGTCCCTTCAGAATAGTTTTCCATAACACTGAAGTTGTCACAGACCTGTTGTTCACCAGATCTGATATAACCTCTTCTTGAGTGGAGGGGCACAGTGGTGGACACTGTTCAAAGTGCAGGTGATCCACGGGTTATATGATGCCATCACAATGTTTTCTGGTTTTATTCTGTTTCTTTCCTAGGGATTTCTAATTCTTCACCTGGGTTTTTTTATTACTACTAAGCCCTGTGTTGATGTTTCCATGGAACTATCCATCACAGCCTCTGTCTGGGTCTTGCTCCCAAAGAGCAGCAATCAGCTCAGGGCCCATCATTTCACATCTGAAACGGGGACTGTTTTCCTTCAGGCACAGCATTTTACATTTATCGACACTGCTTCTCATCTTCATTTTACAACCCAATCAGTCTCATAAGGCCCCTCTCAGTCCAGCCTCGCCCCATGAATCATAAAACTTGCCACATCAGTGCTCATGAGACAGTCTTACAAGCCTCCCTCCACTGAGGTAACTGACCGTTTACATTCTGTAAATCTACCCAACAGTGAAATAAGGATTACAGGCCTATAATTTTCTAGAACACTTTCTAAAAATTAAAATAATTCCCCACCTTCTCAGCTACACGTACTAAAAAAAAAATTAAGTAAGATGTTGCACAATACCGTTAACAATTCATCTCTCTCATCTTTAAGTTCTCTTAGCAGTATTGGGTGGATGCCTTCTGACTCCTATAATCTGTTAGTACTATTGAAAACTTTTTCAGTGCTTTTTTTCCTTTTCATATTGATCCCATTTCTTTGGTCTTCCCTTTGCCCAATCTAGTAATCTTTTTCCAGCCACAAACTTCCTTCTCTTCCACTCCAAACATGACTGTTACTGACTTTCCCCTCCCTCTCTACCAAGCCATTTTATTTCATCCATGCCTACAACACTTTTGATTCCTTCTCCCATCTGTTCTATTGCTCCTCTCCCCAGCTGTATCAGAGGTTATATTCTCTTGAATCCCAGCCCTTTGTTTTTCCTCCTTAAGTCTATGACAATCCAGAAAAAACACAGAGAAGAGGGCCTGTTCTCTTAGAATGTCCTTCAGGCTTTCCAGCAATGCTGGCTGGATGCCTTCCAGTGTTCTTCCAGTCAGCACTAGCAACTTTAACTGGTACAAAAAAAAACATTTTTGCCTTCAAAAATTGCAAACCCTAGAGCACTATCTACTTCATCATTCCCCCCTGCACTTCAGCTCCCCAGCCTCTTCCACCTCTCGTAAGCTCCCTAGGGTTCAGTGTTAACTGCTGTCTCCTCAACGCAGACAGAGGTGACCCTATGAACAGCTTAATGAAAAGCTAACTCAGTGCACAGAAATCACCAAATTTAGCAACCAGGATGTTGTGAGGCATAAAGGAATACAAAATAATACTGACAGTCTCATGCTACTGTACAGTAAACCACAGGTATGTTCTTACCAAGGGAACTGCATTCTGGTCTGATTATCTATCTCAGAAAAGAATAGAAAAAAGATGTAGAGGAATTCAGAGACAAACAGAAAGAGGAGCGTTGATATTTCTCCATTTTGCGGCAAACTGAAGAGGTTGAGACAGTTCAGAAAGAAAATTCAAAAGAAGTGCTGTATTAAAAATATTCATAAGCTCTATATTAAAAGTTAACAGAATACCAACAATAATTTTTTTAAAAAAGGTAAATCAGGCATTCTCACATACCTTGACCTACAATACAAGGGAAAGCCACAGGGGACTACACTGAAGGCAGCAGTTTAAGCCTAAAGAAAGGAAATATTTCCACAAAGCTATGTGCAAGAGGCCAAGTAGAAGTTATTGCTACTGTATCCAATTTGTAGTCATGAGTATTACTAACACAGTCAGACAGATGCAAGTATGAAAAATGAGAATATCTGCCTCTATGCAAATTAAAAAAAATAAGTCAGATAAAGGATACAAATTTGTATGTTTTCAGGCTCAGATAAAGCCTGAACTAAAGGACTAGGAAACATATTAGCTGACACTTGTTATTACTAAAACAGTAAAATATTCCATAAGTCACTGATATAGGGTTTAATTTGCTTTGTTTTCAGTCTGTTTACTATTGAGAAGAACAGTGTTGGCTGTACCAGAGACAGGGTAAGAGACTGCTACAGTGATCTCACTGTGGTTTCTGTGTCCCCAGGATAACTTTCTGACCTGCATGAAGAAGCTCTTCTACTCCTGTATCCAGAATACAAGAGAGTAGGACAGAATTTAATTAATTAGGAACAATAAGAGAGCATTCATTAAAAGTCATGAGGCAAAAGCCATCCCCAGCCCCAGGAGACAGATTTGACATGCTCTGGAGCAGACTCCTATGAGTCAGCTGGCAGGAGGAAACCCAGGCACACTGTGCAGCCGCATCCTGTGCCTGGGGTGCTGCCTCATGTCCTGCTGCAGACCAGCAGAACCTGACCTCCATCCCATGCTACAAATTCAAATCTCCTCTACCCACATCCTGTGGAATGCACACTCCCTCTCTCTCTGTGCACAAGAGACCAATTTCAGGTTTCTTCACATTTTACTTTTGCTCAATGCAGCCTTATTAAACACTTGCAAGGTCTCAGCCTAAGGCATTTTAAATTTCCTGCACAAAGCACATATTTTACATCAATAAAACCTTCACTTTTGGTTTTGAAATGCTGATGGGGCTAACATACTGATCATTTGCCTGCCAGGTTATTTTCTTACTTACCATATGCTGGCTGTGAAGTTTTTCCAGAAGGGTGTTGTCTGTGCCTTTGGGGAATCGACTCTCTTCATTCACCAAAGCCAGTAGACCCAGTTTCTACAGCCAAACATGAGACAGGCTTTTACAGTCAGCAAAAGCTCTAACTATACAGCACCAAGCCAAGAACTGGAGATCTGGACAGCACATTGAACATTAATCCCTGAAGTTATACCCAGGAAAGCTCAAGCTGAATGCAGAATTCTGGCCAATCAATGCATTCAGCAAGTGGAATGTAAGTGGAGTTAATTTATAAAAAATTCACATTAAGGTTTTACTTAAATGCTGCTTCCTGTCTAAAACTATGACACTTTCCTTGAGCTTACTCTCAAAGACAAGCAGAGATCTGCTTTCCTGAGCTGGGCCTAAGGCTAGAACAGGTCATAGTTTTGCCAGGTCATGGCAGGAAGAGGATCTAAGCAGATACCACCTGATTTTAAATCCAGGAAACCCCAAGGAGGGTCTCAAGACAATCACAGCAGCCCCCGCTGCAGTCTCTGGAAACTGCCACAGATAATTGCTCACCTTCTCAATAAGGTCCAGGCACTCTGCGTTATCCATCCAGTCAATGGCTTCCCAGTTTATCCCTTCCCTGACAGTCAAGAACAAACAGAACAAAGATGTGAAATGCAAAATCCAGCACCTTGAGCTGCAGAAGTAGCTGAGCACGGCAGCTGTCCCGGGACGCAAGACAACTTGCAGGAGTTAAGCTTTGCCATGGCTGAGGAAAAAAGAATAGGACACACAATGCACTGCTAACACAAGGAGACAGACGTAGGAGACAACCTTTCTTATCCAGCCCAGTGATTTAGACCGATGCTTATCTTGTAGTCAAGATAAGTCAAGATTTGTAGAGCAAACATCACACCAAGCACTAAGAAATTGTAGCTGTTCTCAGTTGCTCTTTCAGGAGTGATGAGCATCAGCCCAAGTGGTGGTGATGACTGACAGTTTGCTACATAGATTCAAGAGTCATCTTCTGACCCACCAATCTGGAAAGCAGGTGTGACGCATATCTGCCAGAAGACTGAACCACAAGTCATAGGTCCACCAGAAAAAGAGAGAGGAGCAAGTTCTCAAGTAGAGTTTTGAAGAAGGTGACACAGATAACTTCTGGCCTGACATGCAAAGGACCTACAGGGTGGCCCTGCATCTTTCAGAATGGGAGCTGCCATAGGTACAACAGTGTAATGAGCATGCTTTGAAGACCATCCATTAAATTCTCTAAATCTGTGCTGAATATGTTTTTTTCCTTCTTACTACCTTCTTATGCTCCCATAATACAAGTTGTTCCTGTTTTCAGAATTCAGAGGAGCCCGGGAATAACTCTTGCTCAGGAATCCAAGGAAGTCTGCAGGCTATGTGTGAAGCTACTTACTGACATTCTGATACAGATACCTTTCAGGTGAAGACTAACATTTTGAAGATAGTGAGGCTGTTGTCTCCAAACCCTTCACCTTAGACTTTACACTTTCAGGTTCAAAGCATTCAGAAACCTGTGGGCAACAGCTGGAAGCAACAAACTGGAATAATTTCTGAAGAACAGAAAGAACTATCTAACCCCTCCGCCCCAGGAATGGAATTGTTCCTGTGTGACCTGCCCTAGATTAGATGGTCCTGCTCTGGCAGGGGAGTTGGACTCAATGATCTCTGGAGGTCCCTTCAAACCCCTAACATTCTGTGATTCCGTGATTTGTAATATCTTATCTACTTAATGACAAAAAACATCAGTTCACAGTGTTTCAGATTTTTGCAACAATGGTTGTCAGAGAGGCCCTATATTTTTACAAAAAGACCTCTTGGATTCCTTCTAGGAGCAAGAAGACCTTCCAGAATTGAAGGGAGTAGAGTTTTCTGAAACAAATAAAATCCTTAATCAAGTTGTCTCTAGTGCCACAGACTCCTTGTAAAATCAAATGATGAAGTACACAGAGCTACTTACTAAACCTGAGGCAGCAGAGCTGTCATTGTGAAAGATAAGCTTTAAGCACATCATCCTAGAATAACTTGATGAGTAGTCAATAATAAAATTCTCTCGTTTTTTCCAAAGTTCAGCCACAGAACTTAAACTCCTATGTAATCACCAGAAAAAAATCTTTTGTCACGATGATACCATTCTTAACACAAGCTTCCTGCAATGGTGGAACTGGCCTGTGAAGTGAGTGCATAAATAGCCTTTCAGTTTTGTAATCTTTAGAATTTAATGAATTGCCTATTCAACGATCTCCCTTTACAAGGCTGCTCTCATTTGCCCTCACTGACCCTATTCAATTGCTTCATTCACAAACATAAAGGCTTCTGTTTCACAGCAAGAACTGAAGTATTTGTCTAGCAGCCTTCTCTAGAAGCAGGAATACTCTAGAACATGCCAGGTACTTCACAAAATACAATCCAATATAAGGACCACAGAAAAAACAGCCGTGCAGAAGGCCCATGGTCTTCAAGGTCAGGAACAGCGTGATTTAAACCTTGCTGAGGAAAAGAGCCCTTTTCACAGCATAGGAACCTCTAGGACACAAAAAGCTCTTGGATATCTAACCATCTATTTTTAGGAACTTTACTTTTTGGACACCAAGAGTCCACTTGTGTAACAACATCACTATCTTTGGTAAATCGCTACAGAAGTCAGTAATAAGGCCAGTGACCATGTGCTCCAATGGGTTAAAGCCCAAGATCTTCCCGTTCAGCTGAGAGATAGAAGAGAACCTGGACTTTCTAACTGCTACAAGGGAAAAGGCATTTGTGTGGAGACAAGTGACCTATGCTGGCAAAGCATGTGGACAGTGCTTAGAGAGACACATCCACGGTCAGGGTTGCACTAAGGCACAGCTGCCTCTCCTGCCTTAGTGGTAGGGACTGGACAGCACAAAGGAGAACTGACGTCCTCCATTTACTACCCATGAAGGCAACAGGGGACCCAGCTCCCTCAGTTTGTCACCTGTTGTACTCCAGCTGCTCCAAGGAGAATATGTGTTTGTTGAAATATTCCTGGAGTTTCTCATTTGCATAGTTAATGTTAAACTGCTCAAAACGATTCACCTGTAAGAAGAAAAAAAAATTATAAAACTTAACATCCTTGTCCCTGGCTCCAAAAGAATGTTTAACAGCAATGGGGAAGGTGCCAGGCCTGGAATAAAGTCAGAGAGCATAGAGGGAACGAGGTGTCAGATGGACATGAGGAGGACAGTATGGACAGGTCCACCAGAAGAACAGCTTTTGTAGCTCACACAAGGTTAATTCAGTAGGCCTAAATAGTGGTAAAGGATGCTAAAGAAAATAACATTTCTCTTCTTATTAGGAAGAAAGAAATATAATTCCCTAAGTGTTAGGTCACTGGGCTTTCTCTTCTGTGAAATATCTGAGCAGTCACTATATGGCTGTTCAACATACATCCCTCACCAGCTGCAGTCAGAAGCATAACACACAGGGTTCTCAACATAAGGAAAAATGGATGTAAACAAACAACGTGCAGGTAGGAGTCGACATTTAGTTTGTATACAAGTCAAAAATTCAATATTACCTATCCCAGCACATCTGCTTAGGGTCTGTGTCACAAACTAGACCTTGACCATCAGCCTAAATGAATACAGGTGGCAGAAATGGGCAGCTAAATGTATCCTGCTGCTTCCAGGGGCAAGTGGCAGTGAAGAAATTCCAGAATGTCCTATGCTAACCTAAACAGGATACCAAGCGACCAAAATTCCTTCTTATATGCACCAACACCTCCAAAACCAACCCACCCTGAAAAAGACAAAATCCGGACCTGAAAGTTCTCAAAGCCAAAGATATCCAGGATGCCCACAGACTTAAAGTTTTCTTTTCCTTTGATCTTTGTATTAATCTTGCTAATGAGCCAGGAAAAACACTGGGAATAGAGTGCCATAGAAAGGGAGTCCCTGGAGTCAGCTGCCTGTAAAAAAAGAGAAAAAAAATTAGTCACAGAGAGAAGAGAAGGCATAAGGGACTCTCTATGGGACTTCAGGTTTCTCCATTCCTATTCAGATGTCTCAGCTACTGTATTGGTTGTCTGTGGTGCCACACTTACATGTACAGTCAACATTCAAGTTTGCAAATAGTCCAGCCACACACAGATGTACCATGCGTGACCTTTGGGTAACTGAACATGAGGGGCTGAAGGAAGTAGCAAAATCACTGATATCTGCTGGAACAAGTGCTGAGGTATGGAAGGTGGCAAAATACCTCATGACTATGCCTGCAGCACTCATTTGCCTCACGTGAGCCAACATTTGCAGTGACAGGCAAGGTATCTCAGTTCAGTACTCACAGCAGAGCTGACAAATAGGTGTCTGCTCAGTTTTTAAAAAAATGGTAGGACAGGATTTAATACAGTATTTTGTCACCAAGTTACCTGCAAAAATTCCCTCTCCAAAACTTTCCTGAAAACAGCATTATCTTACTGGAAGACAGGTAGGCTAGTCAAGAGCCATGACACATGCCCCAGAAGAGCTTGGGATAAGAGACCTTTCTGGAGCTGACCCAGTAGCCCATGCAGTGACCATAACCAAGTGCTGTAGGTGGAAAAAGACTAACTTAAATTGTGATCACTGGAAGGCAGTAGTAATTTGGTGTATGTCAGTGTGTGGATGAATGTCCGAAATCAAACTTTTGAAATCTCAAACAGAAACTTGCTATTTGATAGCTGTAACAGGAATGGGCTGTTTGTAAATGTTGATAACACTTGGATTAAACAAAAGTGACACACCCCAAATCCTCCAATTAATAAAGAGACATGAGTCAGAACCACAAACTAAGAGGCTGATTGCATGCTGACCTACTGCACATATACTGTTTAGACGGGAAATCAGGGCTTAGGGTTCTGGAATGAAGAGGCCAAAAATAAGGGTTCCCAAAAAGAGAACATGATCACAGAGAATAGAAAAAGGGGCCAGGGAAGAAGGTGGCCAAGATCTTGACTTTCTAGCCAAGAAAGATGCTGGAAGTGAGAAAAGATCCTGGAGATCAGACACATGTGGAGACAAATGCCAGAGTATGCCCAATGGCCTTAGCTGGTAGTTCCTGGGACTGGTAACTTCAAAGAGCTACACAGCATGAATCAACACAACTTTCTGCCTGACCCTTCTGAACAAGCATCAGTCTCCTGACTGAGAAAAGAATTTGGCATCCAATGAACATATCGCTGAAGAGTGAGTGAGCAAGTAAGTGAAATAATCAAGTAGGGGAAAAGCTATCATCTTGTCATTCCATAAATAAACTACAGTATCTAGATCAATGACAGGTTGTCTCTGTCTGTGACATCAGGATAATTCCTTCAGCAGGCCTGACCAGCAGTAACAGAGATCTTCTAAATGCAACCTCATCCTCTCCAGTCTTGCAAGCCTGAATAACGTGACCTCTCCCATTCTGCTTTGCTAATGGCACAGGCCAACTGCCTCTGAATCCTCCCAGCCCCTCTCAGCAAGCTTGAGACCCAGACTGCCAGATTCTCCTTTTCACTCACTCTCACTGTTTTTGTCCTCCTTTCTGATCCTGGGTGGTATCTCCTCTCCAGCAGCCTAAGGCTGAGGATACAAAGCAACCTCCCTTCTCCACAGAAAAGAATATCCAAAGCACACACCTTTTGTGGGTTATATCTTCCCTCCATCATGTGGTCTGTCTTATTAATTTGGACTCAGAATGCCCTCAAGGCCATGCCTCTGTAGTGTGTCTGGCTACACAGTAAGCTGGACTCATTTTCCACGAGTGGGATCTCCCCACCCAGCTGTAAGCAAAGCCGCCTTCCCCACAATATGGCTCAAATGAGACTCTCAAAGGCTCCTTTCATCCTCTCAGCTTTGCTTGCCTTCAGGCCAGTTCACCCATTCAGCCCACTGAAATGTCAAAGCTCAGATGGGTAATGAGCCCATTACACAATGAGAAATCACTGGCAGCTCTCTCAATGCATTCCCGAAAGTGGGAATAGGTGGGAATAGAGGAGAACTTAAGCAGGAACAGTCTTTCCAGGACCAGTGTTCAGTGCAACAGGCTCACCTAGTGAATGCAGCTAAGTGGCAGCATCCACTTGCTGCAACAACTTTTTTGCAGTCTCAGTACTTCATTGGGCTGCAAGCAGTAAACGTGTAGTCCGGGATGCATGAATGTCAGGAAAAACTATACTATCAGGGAAAGCTCTGTTCAGGGAGACTTGTAAATCCTGCAACTGCACACTGTTCCTCTGGCCTGTGTGGTGTGTCTCTGGCATTATTTGTTACCACTGTGCATTTATATAGAAAAATGTGGCTTATTTAGGACAGGCAGCTGAGAAAAGAAACTGTGGTACCCGATACTGAGGATATCCACTGCAGGCTGCTGGTTGAAAAATCATTTTCATGCCATTTCATTGCAAAGAAAGGTCACAGACTAGGAAAAAAAAATACCATTTCTTAAAGGCAAAGCTTATTTTGTGATACGTTAGCAAGTGTGTTTGCAGCAAGAAAAGAAGCAACTACTCTGCTGTAATGACCACTGCTGAGACTTCAGCTTGAATAAGGGGTCCAGTTATAGGCACTCTACTTCTTGAAAGATGAGGGAAAACAGACATAAGAAGAAGACATTTAGAAAATTCTTACAAGGAAACATTGAAGGAACTGGATTGTTTAGCTTAGAAAAGAGAACACCATGTGAAAAGCTTTACAGAAGTGGAATCTTACAAAGGTGGACAGCTGGGATATCAAAGGTAATCTAAATACAAGGAAAATCTTTTCAGCACCAGATTCCACTGCAGCTTGAGCAGGATAATTAAAGAGGCTGTGAAATTCCTTCCATGTGAAATCTGAAGGAAAGTTAGACAGACATCCAAATCTGAAGGAAAGTTAGACAGAGATAACCTATTAACTCTGGTTTCTCTGATAGTGTAAGTGTTGGATTGATAGCCCTTCTGCAGTCCAGGGCATCACAAGATTTCCATGACAGATGTTTGTTTTACTATAAGATGATGCCTCTGCCATCCTAGTAATATTATTCCTTGTTCCCCAGTGTCTTGCCTTTTATTAATGACAGAAGACTTTCTACAGTTATATGTGAATGGACCTAAAACACCCGAGAGTGCCCTCAAGTGATCAGCAACACAAGTTAGTTAGTAGGCACAACACTGTAATGAACCACAGAGAAATGTAATAGATAAGCAGGACTGGCTCTAGAAAGCAGTACAGGTTCAGAAGATGACAACTACCTATCAGTTGATTTGGTCCTCCTCTGTGGTAGTATAGGTACACAAAGAAGCCGTTGTTAACAGCCTACCATCTGTTGGATGTTTCATGGTAATGGTGTGCAAGCTTTTATCTTGCAGTAAATGCAGCGTAATCTGGGAGTTCTGCAAGGTGAAAGCATGCACACGTGCAATTACCACAAAGCATCTGATAGACCTGCTGCATGGCACAAGCACAACCAGATCCTGCTGCGTGAAGGAAACACTATTGTGCATTGCCATTTGCAAGCAAACTCTCCTGTAAAGCCTTAAAAGCAGAGTTCAGGGACCTGAACTACCAATAAGGGCAAAATACTTGAGGACACAGCTGAGCACCTCCGGGGTGTAACAGGAAACCCTAAACTTCAATGCATAATAAAAGAGGGAGACAGAGGGCCTTGGAAATGCAGAAGTGGCAGAAGCAGTAGCGTACACTAGGACACTTACCTGCTCCACAGTGAGAGGGGAGCTGATCTCTTCCCCACGCAGAATCATGGACCTCTGTGTCAGTACTTCAGAGAGCTGAAAGGCATCTAAGCCCAGGAGGTCACTGGCAATGTTCAGCACTAATAACAAAGGAGGACATGCTTTTTTCTCCTGCAGGGACCCCCACCTCTCATGGGGATCCATATGCTGCAGCTCCATGAGGAAATCCCAGGGACTCCTACAAGGCAAGTGCCTAAGCCCAACACAAAACACACTCTCCTTCAGTTAATTCTCTTTGCATACCTGAAGCTGTCAGCTCACACATCCAGTCTGAGGCAGGGTCAGTAGCCGTTATGGGCCACAGGTCAGGCACTCACATAAGTCAGCCTTTCTGCTGACAACAGGAAGAGCAAAGCACGGTGTAAAGCTCAGCACCAGCAAAATATTGATCAAATTAAAGGATAAGTTTTCCTAATGGCACAATAGTGCAGTCTGAGCGTGGGATTGCTAAACTTGGGCATCAAGAAGAGAGGCATCTAACTGAAGACTTCAAGCACTTGTAACATATATTTATTGCTTCTGTCTGCTTAGGGATTCACTCTACTAGACCAGCTCAGACTGGATAACTGTAACAGAGTGCACACCAACAGAAGCCTCAATGGAAGATACGGGAAAGTCTGTAACGTACTACTGTTATCCCAAACTCCTCCCTGATCCTATTTCTTTCTGCTCCTTTGATGCAAAAGGGAAACTGTGAGACTGTAGACTCAGTCTGAGAGTATCCAGGAGAACAAAAGATCATAGGGCCACAGTCCAACTAAATCATAACAGTACTCTGTAGCCACACATCCTGTGGCAGTGCTTTTGCAGGGTTGAACTGCAGGGAACCTGCTGGCAAAGGCACTGCAGATCAGCATACTAGAGGGAGAAAGGACAATTAAATTAGCTTTACTGGGGGCCTTATGGGGCTTTTCATGGTCTATCAAGTTGCTAGGATCCACTCACCTGCTTTTGTGGTAACCTGGGCCCCACCAGCTGTCATGAATTCAACGTTTCCCAAATGAAGTGTGCCAGAAAGAAGTTTGAAGATGTCTCTGATTTCTTCAGTGCTGAAGTCCACCACCTTCATGGCAGTCTGTGCAAAACCATACAGCTAATGTCGGCTGTACATACAGCCACAGTACAATGCAACCACCACAATCGTGTTCAGCCCATATAAGACGTAAAATTCAGACTTAACAGTAATAATGAATCAAAGTGAAATGGGACGGCACAGCCCTTCACTCAGCTATACATCTGTTCAATAATCATCACTGTCTCCCATTCTTTCCTTCATTTACCCTATCCCCATCTCAGGCAGGCAGGTGGGCATTTGCCCTATCCTCAAGTTAGACTTGGCTGCTACCGTTGCCTGTCTGTTACAGGAAGAAGGTGTTTGTGTGAGGGAATCCTTCCCTGAACACTGACAGTACAGGTTACAGATGTCATTAGGCTGCTTCTACATTCTGCCTTACTGTCTTCCTTGAAGGATGGATCCATATAATATAGTTAATTTAATCTGATCTGCATAATGCCCTTTATTTACTCTAGCTTAGAATAGTATATTTACGCAGCAAAGCTTGAAACCAGGCTTTCAGCATTAGCTGCTAGAAGACTTGAAACAAGTTACCAGAAATGAGGTAACCTGAGGCACATTCCCTCTGTCTTAATGCACATGAATAAGGGTCCTTGGGGCATAAATTGACTTTGAAAGGTAGACCTTTCAAAGTTTTCACTCATTTGCCCTGTCAGTTGGGCACTCCAGGCATCTCTCAGCTGAAGCACAATGCCAGTCACCATCAAAAACTCTGCTGCACAGGAGACATTTCCTTCCCTTAAATCACACCTAAGCAGGAGCTATTGAAATCTTAAGATGACTCCTCTCACCTTGCCTATCTGGTTTCAGCTACATTACTAAACCCCTCAGGCTAACAACCACTTATCAAACAAAACATGAATCACAGATTCTTCCTGCAAAACCCATAATCTCTGGTAAAGTTAGAGATGTTTACTGAAATCTGTGTGGTAATTCAGAATAGGCCATGGGCACAGGTGATACAATTATAACAGAACATTTCTGTAGAACACCACCTTCAGACCAAACTGTTCCCCTTCTAATGATGAATGTGAGGTTTCCTGCATCAGGCCACCCAGAGGGCTCCCGGGAACCAGTGTGGCATGGGGTTCACGCTCCCCAAAGTCTCCATCATTCCAAATTATTATTCATCCTTGACTGTTCCCCAAATTTCCTCATTTCTATGTATTAAAAACACTCTTCAAGCCTTGTTGTTATCATAAACAGGTAAAGCTGAATTTCAGACTTGTTGAACACCAAATTTTGGGTTAGTTCTAGCTGTGAGATTGACCCCATGGCATATTTAACCCATGAGATTGTGTCCAGAAGTTCAGGAGGAGTTAGGACAGGACTCACCATGACCTTATTGAACATCTCTACATCATTCAGGTTCTCATCAGTCACACAACCAGACTGGTTCAAGTAGCGATAAGTCTCTGGCTCAGAGAGGGAAAGGCTCTCTGCAACACAAGAAAAAGAGGCAGGGAAGAGAACGATAATTTATTTAGCAATCAGCCTTTTCTTTCTATGAACTTGGTCACCCAAAGTAGTGTGTGTGTTTTCCATGGGAAAAGTCCAGCCGAACATATTCCATATCTCACAAAAGCCACACCTAGACAGTGAATGCACGGGGGAAGGGCAAGAGGAGGGTGTGCAGTAAGAAAAGAAAGCTTGCAGATGGCATGCAAAATGACTTAGAAAAGTCAAATCCCAAGCTGCAGAGTCACAGAAGAATATTTCAATACTGAACTGACTCAGAAAAAAAAATAAATTCAGTCTCATTAAGTGTACCAGAAAAAGTCTTAACCATACGCATACAGTGATGACCTCCAAATTAAGTATCACCACTGGAGACAGAGTTCAGGGAGCCACAGTAAAATTTCTGAAAACAATCTCAGTGCTGAGCAGCAGTAAAAAACTAAGCACAGTTCAGTTCCTTCAATTTTAGAAGGAACACAGAACTAAACATAAAAACAGAATTACACCTCTGTGCATATCTGTAGCACAACCACATCTTAAATACTATCTGCAGCATTTCAAAATGACTAGAGGAGAACCAAAAGATCCATGAAGAAAGAAAACAAGGATGATCAAGAGCCAGAAATGCATTACAGATGGAGCAAGTGAAGCAGCCTGGGACATCAGTCTGGAGAGGGAGATAGGGAAGAATAGCAGAGATCTGCTGAAGAAAATCATCTGTTTTGTATGCTGTCCCTAAGTACTGCCTGATAAACATGGTCCCCACTATTTCCCTTTGCTTTATCTGGATGTCTGAATTGACCTACCTGACCATTCCTGCATGAACTCCCTAGAACTGAAGACCCACTCCCTTCCACTCTGTGTCCGGCCAAATTCTTCCATCTGATTATTCTAACACACACAGAACAAAGGCATAAAGAAATTCCCCAATCCCTCAAAACCAGAATCCAACTGTAACATGTTTCTGCCCACCTATCTGACCTCTTCAGCAAGACCATCAGTGCTCAGGAGTGCTCGGGGCAGGTATACATAAATGTTTAGTTGTTCGTGCTCTACAAAAAATGATTCTTCCACAGCATGCAGCAGCTGCTTTCTCCACATGACCTCCAACAGACCCCACTCTCCCTTCCCCATGCACAAAGCTATAAACCCTCTGCTCAGATACTAGGCATGTTTTGACTCTATGACACTATGTCACCAATCTTTCTTATTTTTAACCTCTCCTCTTACCTGTACCGAAAGTTTGTTGCAAAAGTACATCTGTCAGTCCAATCTTTGAACTCCTTGAACAGCTACCATCAGCATCTGAATCAAGACTCTTTACCCTTTCTTTGCCTCTAGTTTCATTACCTCATCATTTTGTACATACTTTCCCCTGCAGCTCAGAATGACTGAAGTGTCCTTTCTCATATAGCATTTCTGTCATCCTCAGACTCTTCCTCTCAATTCCCTTTTCTGTTTCCCATTAAGTCACCATATGGCTTTTAAGAAAAAGTTGATATATCAGGTACCTGAAATATCTGTGCTCTGACACCTGCTTCACATGCTGAATTGGAAAGAGGACAGAGCCATATCCCAGAAAATGAAATTACCTTTCTGCTCCCCACTCACACCAGCTAGCAGGGCATAAAAGATGTGGTAATTCCTCTCTCCGGGGTTCTGGTGTACCACTCTGTTCTGAAACAAAGAATGCAGGAGTAGACAGTAGAACGAGATCACACTTGTTGCAAAGGTAAAGAGATAGACCAGGATACAGGCAAATCTCCAGCACCAGTGCACAAGAGCTACTTCTTCCAATTTAGTGACGGTGCTGTCTAAATAAGGTCTACATCAAGATCTTGTCATGTGTGGCTGTGCAACTGAGCACATACAGACTTCTCTGAACTCGGAGTGCATGCATGGACAAGCCAAACCCTGTCAGTTCTGGCCCTGCTCCTCAGGGAGTTCCTGAGTCCAAAGTAAACTACATCAGAGCAGAGATGTCTGCATCTGGAGTTTTACGCCCATATTCTTCTCTATGGAACTGAGTTTCCAGGTACTTGCTCTCTCTCCCTTTCCCTTGGTAAAAGGCTTTTTCTTGGAGTTTCTCTGTAATGCACAGTTTATCAAAGACAAGAGAATAGGCTCTGACAGATACAGAACAAATGTTGTTCCTCCTTCATCCTCTTCCTCAGTTGTAACAGTTGCAGATGTAAAACCTAAAAAGCAAATGTCTGTGTGCTGTGACAGAGGCAGCAACATCCAGGAGATCTGGCACTGCCCCACCATATTATGAGGAGATGGCTTACTCAGCAGTCAGCAGAGGTGATACCTACCTTTTCCAGTAAATCTGAATAGCATGTTAAGGAGAAAACATTCAAATGACATATGCACAGATCACCTAACAAGTGGCAAAGAATCTTCCAGGCACATTGGGATGAACATTGTAAAAGGCAACAAATCATTAAGTAACTGACACTTCAGGAAGTGGACAAAGAACAGCCCCAAACATCATCTTGGATCCTTCTCCCTACTCCTTGTTCATGGAGGTATTATGTGCCAAAGAGATACTTAAAAGGGCAGGGTCAGATAGAGCATAGGACCTGCACAATGGTGAGGTAACCTAGGAAAGGATGGGCCACATTAGGGACACCTAGAAAGATTAGAGAGACCACTCTAATCCAAAAGTCTGTATTTTACACAGTAAGTCTTGCATCAGTTCTCATTGCTTCTGAAAGAGACCACTATCTTTAATCTACTGACAGCACAAAGAACAGAGGCTAAACAATCCAAGCCTGTTATTTACAACAGTAGTAAATTCATCTGGCTGCTACTGCAGTGCAAGTTGGTGGGGTCTGCAGTCTCCACCAACTTTGAACATCATCCTCAAGAAACATAGTGAGGTCAGCTTTAGCTGCCTCATGTAGACAAAAGCCTTTTGGAGAGGGGTACATGGGCATACAGGGATTAAAGTGGTCATGGCACAACATAATTCCACTATATCCAGTCTTCCCAGGCCTTGTTGTCACTGGAACAGGCTCCCCAGGGAAGTGGTCACAGCAGAGTTCAAGGAGCACCTGGATGATGCTTTTAGTCATATGGTTTAGTTTTAGGTAGTTCTGTGAGAAGCAGGGAGCTGGACTCAGTGATCCTTGTGGGCCCCTTCGAACTTGAGATATTCTGTGATTAGGGTTCCAAGGTCCACTGGAGATGGGCAGCCCAAAACAGTGAGCCATTATTGACCCGCTAAATTCCTATTCTCCTCTGCATCCAAATATTGTGCAGCTCTATTGATAATATATTGATTCTTAGCTTGGTCTCACTTTTCTAAATCATTAACTCACTGGTAGAGCTAACGAAGGAGAACAATCTTCTTGGAAAAAATAGGATGCAATCAAAATGAGGGATCTTGCTAGGTAGGAAATTCTAGGGGTTTAAATATCTAGTGTTGTGATTGTCACAGTGAAAAGTCAAACTACGTCTCTATCTAATGGAGCAGCCAGAAAAAAAGTTTCCAGAGTTAGGTGCTGGAGAGCCACAAAACAAAATCTTCTTCCCTCTTTAAATGGCAATTTCCCCACAGTTATGAACTGGCTTTGAGAACCTGGGATGAGAAATTTCCTGACCCTCTCTGAGCTCCTCCTCATCTTTGCACCATCTATTTCTAGTTCAGTGCAGAAAAGGATACAATCAGTTACTCGGCCTCCCTGGATGTGTCCATGTTGAGAGAAGTGCAGCTGGATGAACTTTCCAAAGCGGCTGGAGTTGTTGTTATAAACTGTCTTGGCATTTCCAAAGGCCTCCAGAATGGGGCTGTAGAAACAAGGCAATAAAGGTATGACTGGAGATGGGATACCACTAAAACAAAGCATGTGCCCAGCCTTTTGCCATTTGCACAGCGTGCACTGCCATATGAGATTCATATGTTAAGCACCAGACCGGACAAGCAGGAAGAGCTCAAGGGCAAGGAAAGATGGCAGGAGCAATTTAACACACTGCTACATAAATTTTAAGCCTTTGGGATTAGAGCTAATTAAATCAGTCCCAAATAGGTATGGACAGCTGGTGTTCACCCTGTCGAGGGCACTCCCCACCAGTGTGGCTTCAGGAAAGAAAAAGTGGAAAGACCTAGCCAGATTGTGTGCTTAGCACAGAAGCATCCCATTAAATGGCCTTGTATTTTTTTCAGGATTTTCAGAAGCATCAGACATCTAGGGCAGATACTCTGTAGCTTTAAACCACATACTTCTTTGTTTCTGCTTCTGCCTTTGACAGAGAGGGCAGCATAAGCCATCTCTTAAAATTAAAGGCAAATATTTTCATACTAACAAACATAGTACACTAAGCTGATTTGTTTGGTACTGAAATTTTATACTGGAACACACAAGCCCTTGTTACTTAAACAGTGCTTAGATCGATACAAACCACATGGTTTCCATGGGGTGGGACCATGCACACACTATAGATTTGAAAACTTCATTCTGAGAGCCACATTGTCCACTTCACAAGAAAAAAAAAAGTTGAAAAAAAAAAAAACATAAATCTATGACCCAAATGGGTGATGAACTAAAGAATCTTGTCTCCTGGTCACCTTCCTGTCCTCAGGAGGTTCATACAACGTGGAAAATAGTGAGTTAAAATGCAACTTGTTTCTTTCTCCACAGGACAGTACAAGGCAGAAGCCTGAACCATTCTGACTGGCACACTGAATCCAGGATAATAAAATACTAATTTTTGCAATTTAGCCAATTCTAAAATAATCTAAAGGCCTGACAAGCACGGAGTCATGGAGATGCTACAAGAACAGCCTGTATGTGGTTGTGTTTAATTTTAAAATACACATAGTTTTTAACAAAAATTACTGTTGTTATTACCATGAGAAATACTGGCTTTTTAAACATCTCAACTGATCTGCTGTGTGATTCCACTGGACACAGGGGCAGATACATGATTATTCACAAATTAATAATTACACCATGACAAATAATCACAATTACAGATACTGCTGGAGTTTTCTGGAAGCTTCAGGCCTTGCAAGAATTAGCAAAGTGAGAGCTGTGGTTGTGGCAAAGGCCCAAGAACCTTCAGGAAACTTCAGGCAGTATTTTCCTAATCTACCTCTTGAAAAATATCACTTTAAAGAAACAAAACCATATAAATGAAATTGTTCTGTTATAATATTTTACAACCATAGAAATACATCACAGAACGCTGCATGCACAGATCAAAAGGTAAGTTCCTTGTCCTGAGAATGTGAACTCCAACACCCACACCTCTGAAACAAGTATGTAAATAAGTACATTGCACAGCAATATCCCACGGATCACATCAATACCACGAAGCAGCAAACATTAATGGGGACAACCAGAAAAATGGGAGGACGGGGTTATGCTGTATGACCAGCACAGTTGCAGTGAGAGTGCAGTAACCAGCCAGCCAGTCTTTATGGCTCTAAATCATGTTCAATTAGATAAGCAAAGCTCAAAAAAGTGTCTTTATAGTTGTGTTTGGCAACGGGCTCACACACAGGAGTGCAGGAGTCTTTCACGGATGGGGGAGGAAACAGGCATGTGAGTGGCTGTTGCTGGTGGCAGCTGCAAGGAAGAGGAGTGGGTGAGCTGACAGAGCCAGGACTGAGGGCTGATGCCCATGCCGAGCAAACTGCCTGTGCCAGCAGGCGCATCACGACGGGCACCTGGTGCCGTAGCTAACTGTGCAAGGCCGAGTGGCACATCAGGAAGATGATGCTGGCTGCTCGGGTGGAGGTGCACAGGGCGTGTTACAAGGTGGGAAACAGTTTCAGCAGGGCAGCAGAAAGTGAAACCTGGATTTTAGAAAGACTGCAACATATGCAGCTCCAAGATTCAGATATACGGGTGAAGACAAAAAGGAAGATTCAAAGATTGGAGGGGTTATTAACAGGAAAGGTGTCCATGCTGTCAGCAGTGGCACCCAACATGGAGAAGGGAGCTTCAAAGTGAAGCAAGCAAGAAAAAAGAAGTTAGCAAAACTTTTAATGGACTGATGGATATTTTCAAGAAGGAAAACAAATCAAATCAACAGCACCAAGGGAGTTTTTCAGAGCCTCATTTCTGAGAAATACAGCAAACATGAATGTTACAGCACACAAGCAAATGATAGAAAGCTGATGTAACGCTCTGTTTATAATGCTGTCTGAAATGGAGAAAGAATCCAGCATTGTTCCTGAGCATGTGCTGGGGTGCAAAGATGAAAATCCACCATAAGCTCACTCAAGGAAGGCCACTGGTAGAACAAATGAAGCTGAACTGCAAATGTATGAGGGTAGACTCATTAGGAGCAGCAGCAGCTTCTGGCTCTGGACCAGGTCTTCAGCTTTCTTCTTCAGGGAAAAGGTGACAAATCAAATTCTCTTGCACTTCCATTGCAATAGCTCATGTAACTCTAGAGGTGTACACAAAACAGGTTGCAAGCCCTTACTTCACCTCACAGCTGTGGGATCTTGCAGACTCAGGAATCATGTACCTACCATCGTAAGCTTTCTAGATCACTGTCAAGTTACCACTTAACCGCTAAATGGGCTTGAGCCTTCTAAGCCGCCTGCCTTAGAGCAGATTTTGCAGATCTTGAGTCGTGACTGTATCACACTTAAAAAGCTTCTTCCAATTTGCCAACATCTTTAGTAAAATCTGCACACCTAGAAAGGAAAAATCTTCCAATAATTGTCTCTTGAGCACTACGTCCAAAGGCAGCAACCCTTCTGCTCAACACTGCTCTTCTTGTAAAGATCCTAGAACCTGCAGTGCTCTTGCAGCTGCCACGTTAGACACTGCACGCCAGCTCAGGCTATTTTCACTGCAGTTACTAGTAACTTTTTTGCATCACCATCTTCCAGGAAATATTTCTTCTCTCTGCTCCCTGGGCCCTGAAATATGCCACTTGCGTGAGAATCACTTTTACACAGATGGTTCATCTTATTACATCATCTAACTACACAGCTACACAGCTAGATCCTGTTGCAGGTATCTGATTTATTCCTTTGGATATTTCTGCAACTGCCACAGGCTCAAACTGGGACCAACCTGCAGCCTCACCCTTGACAGCACCGAACTGCAAGACCCTCAGCAAGATCTTCCAATCACAGGCAAGACAATCTTGTGGTGGGAAATTTTTGCTTCATTTAATTTAATTTATTAAATGGAATTTGGGTGTTAAGAGTAAACATGACAAACAATGAAACAGATACTGAAATAACACTGAAGTAAACATCTTTCCTCCCCCTTCCCAAGGCTTACCTGCAAGTCAAACACTTATTGCCCTTGTTTTCTTTGCCTCAGCTTCCATTTTTCCCTTAGGCTACAACCAATTCCTTGCAACTGCCCCCAAAAAGCAGCACAGGAGGCTGGAGGCACACACAGAACTGTTTGTTTCTTTTGCTCTTCTCTTCCTTGTTTTCTCTGCTGCTCTGTCTCTTACTGTTTTACCTCAGCTGCATTTTGCTTCTCCAGGCTTCGCTGACACTTATTTCCTTGACATCCCTGTTCCAGCATGGGTCACCCATAGGCCACAGTACTTCAAGAATGTCCCTGCCCTGGTGTGAGTCAGTCCCTCAGGAGTGCCAGGACCTCCTGTGCATGAAGGATCCCCCAGAGTGTGTCCCCACCCGCTCAAGGCTACCCATTTCTATCCCAAACACATGTGATCCAGGCACCATGTGCTTCCCTGCCTGCCTGATGGTTTTGGCGGGTGATACTTCTTCCTTTGGTGCCAGCTTCAGCAGAGACCAGCTCCTCCCACAAAGTCCCTGCTGCAGTCCCCAGCAAACCTCCTTGCTCATGCCCCTTAGAGTTCCCATGGATGTTTCTCAGTGAAATCACCTGCTGGGACAGCAAAAAAGCTGCAGGGTGTTCTGCCAATGACCAGGCTCAACAAAAATGATACAGCCAGCAGAAAGAGAAACCAATCCACAGACTGTATTGTAAACAAAAACATTATGATATGAATGACCACCGGGGGTACAAACCGATCAATCAGCTGGTACATGATCAACGCCACCCCCAACGATCCCACAAAAGATGTGACTCGGCCCACAACAGGTGGTACAAACAGTGAACCGAGGTTGCCCATAGTTGGCATGGGAAACAGCCAGACCAGCCTGTTAAATACATAAGAAAAAGGTGCCCACATGGTGACTCTCACCCAATTGGCCCACGTTCGCAAAGGTCTAAACAGACCAGGGCCCAGCTCCAGGAGAGTCAGGAGGTCTGCCCTGAACCAGGCAGCTCTGTGCAGTGCACTCCACAGACAGAAACTCCTGACTCCCTGCCCGTGGTGCCAGCTTTAGACACCTGACCTTTGTCAACTCAGTGCGGGACCCCTGGGGCTCATTTCCCTTCTGGCTCTCCCTGCAGGGCCGGCCACACCCTGGGGGGAAGCTATAAGGCAAACTTACCACCTCTTTATGAAGGGCTGTGGGAATCACCCATATGTCAACCTTAATTCGGGGCTCGGGGTTCAGACCCCAGCATTTCACATGGTGGCCCACAGGACCTTGGAGGGCAAGACATATAAATGGCCTGAAACAAATGGAGTCCTGGGGACAGCAAGGGCTAAAAGAGGAGATCAGGAATCAGAGTGTGATGGAGATTCACTGCAAGCACAGCCACAACCGAGAGCTGTAGGAGACAGCAGTGACCCAGGACAGCCAGGGAGGGACATTACTCATGTCCCCTCCAGCCACTGCCATGAGAGGTGTAGAGCTGCCAAGAAGGACAGTGAAGCAATGGGCAGGCAAGCTCAGGAGCTCAGCCAGGTGGGCATGGAGGATGATTTACTGAAGGAAGGAGAAATGCCACTCCTGGGTAGATATAATTCTCCACTTGCTACACACACCCCACACTGCCATTGGAAAGAAGCCTAATTCATCCATGTGCAGCTGGGAGAGCAGCGAGCATGAGGTGTCCCGGCAAGACCATGACATCCACGTTTCCCTGCCTTGACACCATTCAGCTGCATGATGCTCCCTGCCCAGGCCTGGCTCCCTCCATGGCCCGGCTGATCAGAAGGCAGTGCCTCCACCACAGGCAGTGCCTCCACCAAAGGCAGGCTGCCCCGCATGCCGGCGTCCAAAGGGACCAGGTCCCATGTGCCCGTGAGGGTGACCATACCTGCTTTCCAGGATGGCTTCTTCCACACAAGTGCTCTTCTCACACGCAGGGGCCCCAAGGCACGTCTGGCTCATGGCTGACAGAAATTTCAGCAGCAACTTGGTGCTCTCAGTCTTTCCAGCCCCACTTTCTCCGCTGTTAAGAAAAGAAGTATGTTTCATTCACAAATCCAGGACAGGCAGAACTAATGTCCATCCCACCCATAGCAGAGAAGTGATCTCCAGGAATAAACACGTGGTGTTTCCACTGTGGCAAGCAAGGATCAGGCAGAGGGCAGGGAGGATGGTGTGGGTACTTAGGCAGATGTCATTGCAAACGGAGCAGCAGGAGCAAGGCATGTAATGCAGTCAGGGAGTAGCTGGTTCTCCCATTTCTAACCTGATCAGAACACACTGGCTGTCATGACGCTTCCACAAGCAGCAGTAGCACTCGTTAGCAGTGGCGAAGATATGGGGAGGCAGCTCACCCAGCCGGTGCTGTCTATACAGGTCTATGGCATCCACACTGTACAGACCAGGGATGGGTTTGTAGGGATTTACTGATGCCAAGATGGAACCAATGTTTGTCTAGGGGGAGAAAACAAGACACAGCAAGGAAATAAAGCTCCTGGAAAAAAAAAAAAAAATCATGACAAACCTGGACACTGAAGTAATTCATGGTGAAGGGAGACAGCCTAAACGAGGAAGTTGGGCTTCAGCAGAGAACTCCCCAGTCTATCAAAGAATGTCAAACCCCAGGGCAGGGGCTGCCAGACTGGGTATGGATGGGGCAGTTTGAATTTCACTGCTTTACAGTAAAAGTTTCTTAGACTGTTGTCTTTGCTAAATTAAGCTTACACAATTTAAAAGCATTAAATCATCTTCATACCCAGCTAGTTTGCACTGTGCTCGTAGCTGAAAAGCAGAGCCAGGATTGAAGGTGTGTCAGGAGATACCTTTAATGCCTCTATCCACAGTCTTAAGTGGAGGGGGCTTGGCAGGGTTCAAGCACCTCCTAAACAAAGAGGCGAGTCATGGAGAGACACACACACACACACACATGTGTGAAAAGCCACTAATTAGTCTATCATTTTTCTTCTGCCAAAAAATGCTGTTTGGAGCAGCTTAAATCATTTGGTAAACCAAATCAAAATTGACAGCTGAAGATGAAGCTTTGGATTTCAAGTCAAAACATTTCTACATTTTCTAAACATCTTATTTTGAAAATATTTATTTCAAAAATTTCACAGTTCAAGAAGAGAGTTGGTAAGGTTTAAAGTAAAATACCCAAGACCTAATGTTAACTTCCAAACATGTTCTTCTGTGAAGTCAGAAGGAAATAAATTTTATTTTGGGGGCATGACTTTTCCAGTTCAGCCAACCAGCTCAAATCCAGTTATTCTCAGAGCTGCAGTTCAGAGCAATGGTGGCACCTCTCTGCTAACAATGGCTTTGTAATATGGTCTACATCCAGCTTAAGTCCTGCTGCTGGTGCGGTGGCCTCCTTCAAAGGGACATCTTGAGCTGCTCTACTCCAGGAACACCCATTCTCAGCAGGGGTGACAAAGGAAACACTTAGACTGCTGCAGTAGGTGCCAAGCTTTGTGGCCAGGGACAACATCTAGTGCTATTTCCAAACCATGAACTACAAATCACCGCGTACATATACGAGGATTTGCATGCATCCATTGGAGAAGCTGTAAACAAAATGCTCGGTGACAAGAAACATGCATGCTTTCTCCCTGCCAAATGAAATCTGGGGCCATACTGCAAAGCCAAGCTCTAAAGCCAGAAGCCAGACCGATAAGATGCTGTAAGTCACTGAAATATTTAAGACTCATTCATTAAAGCATCAGTCAGAGATCACTGGGGGAAAACACCCATCACCTAGGACTAATTGCATTATCAGTACAAACAGGTGAGCATGGAATGTGGGCAGAAATACAATTAATTGGTGATGGAAGCAATAAGCAAACAGACGATCTTTGGCAAGACAAGTGGGAGGAAACAAGAAAGCACTGAGAGAGAAACATGGATCAGGAAAAAGCACTGTACAAGCAGTTGAGCAACAAGACATTGTCCAGAGACTACAAGACAGAGATGTACACCCTAACACTTCTCCCAGACCTTCACAGCACTTTCTTCTCTGACGTTTCATTTTGCGTTTCCCACTCTAGTTTCAGTGCTCCCAAGGAAGAGCTCCCACTGCAGTCCTTTCCAGAACCTTCTCCACTACAGGCGTCTCTTTTAATGATGTTTCTAGGAAACTTTTCCATCTCCTAGTTCCAGTCTTTTCATCACCTGCAGTCCCTTACAGACGATTTCTATCCACAAATTTTAATAACAGTAGCATTTGTGCATCAACCAGGTACATACCAGCCACCCTATTAGCAAGGAGTGACCGTCCCCACTCTGTAGAGAAGACAAGCCACACATGGCGTGTTTACTTCTCAAGATAGTAGATCCTACTTGGGTGATTAGGTATGGCAGAGCTAGGTACAACACAAAATGTACAAGTACAGCCCCTGGATCATTTATACATCACTCACATTATGTTGGGTCCACTTTTATTAAGTGATACAGGAATTAAGTGATATGCAGGAATGAAGGGGGGAAATGCACTCCTAAAAGCTGCAGGATGTTGCTGTGCTCACATAATTTCTTTAAACAGTCTGGTAGAGCTTGAATAGTTTTTCTATGGAAAACAAAAGATCCTGTTGAAACTTTCTGTATTCCCTCATTTTAAATTAAATTAATTAGAGGTACCACACCAGACTAAATATACATCTACCTATACTCCCTGACCAGAAAGGATCCCCTGTAGGAGCTCATGGTAGGATGCCCCCAGGCATACAGCTCAGGACTGCACTGCCCTTTTTCACAGCAGTCGTCCACTTCACATGCTCACTTTTCCACCCTCTCACTAATTATTTTTTATTATGACCTATTTATTATTATTTTAAATACTAGTTGCCACTACTCCAGGTTACCCATTCCTTCAGGTGAATTTGTTTTCCAGAAAACAATTATATTTCTTCACTTGTTTTTGATCTCTTTTATTTCCTTCCAAATACTTTTGGCCTGACTGACAAGTTAACTCCTCTTAGTATAGCTTCATCTGCAATCTTAGCTGACTATGTTCTATCTGTGGAGACTTTTGAGGATGTTAAACGAACTCAAGCAGTCTAACATTCCCAGTACTCACAGGTCACTGCAAATCATTAGGTGGCACTACAGCCAACATTCTTACTTTCCGAGTAACTGAAAACTATCTGGGTTATAGCAAAAACTAATAGTGATAAGGCAATTGCAATATTAATGCCTGCACTGCAGAAATACAGAACAGTACTTGTACAGTTTGCTGTTCTCCAGGTCAGACATTGCACAACCATATACCCAGACAAAGTCCCACTCAAGGAGGTGTTTACATTCCTTCACTGAGGGGTTCCTCCCAGCACTGAGCATGTTACAGAAGTCAGGTCCCTTCATAAATTTCAAAAAAATTCAGATCCAAGGTGCAGAGCTAACATTCGTGCACTACATACAGGCAAAAACTGACATCATACTTAAACATTAACACACAGATGGAAAAGACACAGACCTAATGCTGAATAGGAGAAGGAATGACGTACCAGAGCTAGAGGAGAGGCTTAAGGAGACACGACTGCTGTGACACAGTCACAGTGATAGTGTTGTGCCATTTCTGGTGCAAGGCACAGACTGAAAAAGGAGAGAATCCTGCCTCACATCTCAAAGCATGAGGAAGAAGAAACAGAAGGAATATACCCAAATAGGCAAAGAGCTGCACAGACACACAGCACATATCAAATACAGGTCAGGAAGAGAAGCAAGGACAAGGGCCATCAAAAGAGAGTGTGCACTGGGTTACTGCCACAAGGTCACAAGGTTGTGTTGATAAACAAAAGGCAAGGGAGTCTACAGCAACAAAAAAAAAAGAGAATTTGAAGTCTCCTCTGCATCCCGGTGCAGGAGATAGTTCAGAAATGGGGTCACTTCATTGATCATTTTCTGGAATACAGGTGCATATGGTTTGGTTGCCTGGGTAACAGTTGCTATGCAACAGAGGGAGATTTACATTTTTCCTGTCATACTTTGTAAAACTCTGAGTGCACATAGCATGGACAAGCAAGGTAAGCGTTAAGCAAGGTAAGGCAGTCCTTGTGATCTATCCTCCTTGTCCTCTCCAAGTCCCAGCAGAGCGCGCTGCCAACCCATCACTCCAGGGGTGCCTACACCCAGGTGTGCTTTCCCTCACAAGTCCCTTTCCGGATACTTGCCTCCTTCCTGAGGGACCAAGAGGGAAATGAGGAGATGCTTTGAGAATTCATCTGTGCAGAGAGAGCAGAGCAACTCAAAAAAGGCACAACTGCATGTAAAAGCAGAAGAATTAGGCAGCAGGTTTGCTTGCCTAGTTACATTGAGCAGTAGCTTTATCTGGATCAGGTGGGATACTCAGCAACAGCCCATGCACACTGCACTTTCCAGACTGCTTGGCCACATAAACCTCTGAACAGGATTAATGGGGAATTCAGAGAACATGAACACCAGCTTTGTAAAACATGGATGCTCATGGAGGACAGAGCTACATAATACCATTAAGCCTAAAGGTGAATGTTCATGTTTTGGAAGTTCTTCCATAAATGCAAAGAGGCTCCTCTGGTAAGGGTAGGATCTCACAGGGCTGATGGAGCTGGCAGCAATGTCCACTTCTATCCACATGAAACAACGCTCAGGAAACAATGCTAAAAATCAGTATTGCACATGCAAAGTAGCAGCCCCAAAGCTAAACAGAAATCATTAGCCACAAGGGATGTGGCCCATCCTGAGCACTTACATAGATGTTACCATGTTGGTAGCGCTGGTGCAGGTTAAGCAGGATGGCAGCTTCATGCAGATCTCCCAGCATGGACATATCTTCTACCCCATCAATGCTGCTCTGATGCATTGGCAAGACCTTTTCTCTGGAAAGGGAAGCTTTGGGGTACTGGAATACCTAGAAGGATGGGGAGAAGGACAAATAAGCTTATTACACCCGGGTATATGGTCTGATTTCCTATCAGAAACATGACCCTTTCCACACCTTTACATTTCAGCACTGGAAGAGGAAATGCATAAGGCACAGATTTGCTCCCTATTTTTATAGTCATTCTTCTATTCCTATTCTTACCTATTTGAGCTCTCTGGCCAGAAACTATACAGCACACTCCCTTTTGCTACAGTCAGTCTCTCAACTTCACTACTCACACTGATAGATCAATGGAAGGTTACTTGATTTTTACTGAAATCCCCTTAGCAGGTGCAGGGCAGCAGCCTCCAGCTGCCCTAGGCTGGACAGGTACTACACTCTGCACTCATGACCCTGAATAATGATAGCAGCTACTCCCAAGAGACCAGAAACAGTCTTTCAAAAACACCTAGGTGAGATCATGTCTTTGACCGTGGGCGCAGGTTAGGGCAAAGCTTATTCAGATTCCGAGTTTGGCCTTGCACTCTCCATAGGAGCCGTCAAAGTGTCTGGGAGAGGTTGTCATGTCAAAAGAAAGGAAAGTAAAGCAGACGAGAAGCACAATGAAGTAATGACATCCTGTGGGTATGCTGGCGTGTATGTGTATGCCCTGGTTTGGGGCAGAACAGAGTTGCTTCTGTTCAATGATTTAACTTTTCAGCTAAAGCTCTTTTAATTAACTGCTCTGTCTGAAGCTAACACCATATTTTCACAGACTGTCTGCTTTTAGCAGTGATAACACTCCGTGTTTAGAGTTACTGCCAGGGATTGGTATGCAGACCAAGGCCACTGCTAATCTTCTGTACCACAAAGAGAGGGGCAGAAAGTAAAGCTGCACCTGCAGGGAGAAGCGGACAAGATAAGCAACCCTAAGGTTCACCAGTGGGGTATTCCATCCCATATCCCTCATATTCAGTATAAAAACTGAAGGATCAGGAGGAGCAAGCCCCTGCCATCTCTCTTCTGCCTTCTTGCTTGCTTTTGCTGCTTCTGCAGTGGCCGGCACCTGAGGAGGACTCCATCCATCCTGCCTTTGATCCCGAGTGTGTGTTCCTGACCCACGTTCCAGACTCCAGCCCCTGTACCCAGCTGCCATTTGTGGCTGAGTCCAGCCTGGGACCTTTCCCCAGGGGCTGCTCCCCAGCCAGGGATGATGCTGACATATTGCCATTGAGGGGTCAGGGGGTTCAATACTGGTTTTGTATATATTTGTATATATATTCCATTTTATTATTATTACTACTATTACCTGTAGTAGTAGAATTAGAGCTGTTTTCCTTATCTAATCTATAAGTCTCTCTCCCTTATTCCCTTTCTCTTTAAAAAAATTTGGGGGGTTAAGAAGGTGGGTTAGCAGAGAGCATCTGTTACTGGTTCTGATCCCAAACTGTGACAGTGTACGATGCAGCTTTCAAAGTGTTGGTACAGTGACAGCTATTAACTTCCAGCATTGCTCTGGGAAGTACCCACTTCTCTCTCTATGCAGTTGCACCCTTCTTGCTTCAATTGCTGCATCCTTCCTGCTAAAGCTCTCTCCTCCTCAATAAACCCACTCTTCTGCTATCAGGTCATCTTCTTCACCCCTTTCAACACAGCTGAGATTATGTGACTGTTCCCCTCCACCATATCCACATCCTGGCCCTCCTTTCCTCCCCCTCAAGCACGATGCTGGCATTTCACAGAAGTTATTTCAGTTGCTTCCCACTCTTAAATTCAACCATGTGCCATCTCCCACCCAGCATCCCAAGCTGCACTAGATGGTAAGACCCAAGATAAGACAGATGGGAGGCTCCATACAGGCAGCCTGGAGAAGCAAACTGGCCCGCAATAACCCTTCCAAAAGAAACTTGGGGTTTTCCTTCCCTTCTGGGGCTCTGGTCTCTAGCATATTTCCATCCCCAGGTGCCGACAGGACACTGACAGACTCCAGAGAGAATGAAGCACGACCTAGAGCATTGATCTAGCTGGTTTCTCCTGCCTGCTTTGGTGGAGTCCTCAGGCTGCCATAGCTGCTAGGGAGAGGCCATCCACGCAGCTGCAGGCTGAAGACAGAATGAGGTCACCCTGCCCCCCCAGCGATCCACCCTTGCAAGTCCCTTGCAGGGCAGCCATCACTGCAGTGTGTTGCAGGTGCCCAGCGACCACCCTTCTCAGATCTGAGCCTGCTCCCTTGCCAGGGTGGGGAAGGAGCAACCTGGCACAGGATCCCTTTACAAGGCAATCCCCCCCACTCCCCGATGCCTGCGAAAGCCTGTGCAATCAAAAGAGCAGCTCTGTTCCTGGAGAGAGCTGGGGATGAGGAGCAGGCCCATTTCCACAGATGTGTTTGCCCCAGGTCTGCCCAGTCAGACATAATGCGACAAGGACTCGGTCTCTTTCGCTGGGAGACTGCCCCAAAACCCAATTCTCACTAGCCAGGAGGCTTCCAAAAATACATAGTTCATGTTCATGAACTAGAACAAAGCCCACTCCAGCACACAGGCTCTCTCCAAGCCTCTCTAGTCTTCTCCATAGCACTTCCACGCCTGTGTACCAGAGAGGTAGGAGTCTGCCAGCAGAAGGACCCCCAACTCTGCAAGCATAGACCAAAAAAAACACATCAACTTTTTTTTCTTCTTCTTCTTCAGTGCAGAGGCCTTGAGTACTTCCACAAGAGAACTCTGAGAGAAGGAAGGGAAAATAGGACAATTAAATTCAGGGGAGTACAAGATGCAGATGCACAACATGAACTGGACTCTGACAGGAGCAAAACCACTACAGTACTTCAAACCATGAGGCAGCAAACCACCCTGTCTCTCTCTTCTCTGCTGACCTTGACAAATTTTGGAAGGGGACAAATCCAAAACAGTATGATGTGATCTTTCCTTAGATCTGCCTGTCACTTACTTATTTACCACTGCATTGTCAGCACTTGTGAACACTTGGGCTAGAAGACAAGTGTTAAGAAAACATATGGGGAAATAGCTGAGTGGACAAGTGTCCCAAAAGATCACCATAGGCTGCAGGGATCATCCAGGGTCCTGGAGACAGACATGTGGTGGCTTTTTGTTCTCAAGATTGTGTCAAAGGGGATTTCCCTGAGGAGCTCAGAGATTTGAGACACAAACATGACCCAGACATGCTGGCCCTCTGCCCTTAGAGCTTGAGAGGTGCTGCACTGATCCAGACCAGCCAGGTCCTTTCCCACCTCCAGCCACCACAGTAAAGAGGCTCTTGTTACCCCACTGCTCACTTCTGGACCCCTCCATCAATCTGCCAGGAGAGCAGTTTGGAGGAACATGCTCTCCATCATCCTGTTCCAGGTAAGGTAAGCCAGGCAGCTTCAGCAGCTTGCGCTGCCAAGCTGAATATCCTGGCTGATTTTGCCTGAAGCAAGTGAGAACACAGAAACTGATCTCTCAGCAGAGCTGCCTCTAGAATTTCCCTTTCCCAACAAGTCAAACAGAAGGTTTTAAGTGTTAATAAGCAGATCTTTATTATTTGGGAAGAAAAACCATCAGCTTTCAGTCTAACTACAAAGAACCTATCAAATATGACACAGGCACCTCACAACATGGCCAAAGCTTTCTTCTTTCTCCCCAGTGATAAACTGATTTTGTCTCAGATTTAGCATACAGTCAGAACAAAATGGCCAGGATTCTCTCCAAGCCCCTGCAACGGTCAGGAATAAAGCAAAACCCGGCCAGCAGACAAGCCAAGATAGGGACTGCCACGAAATTATTCCTTCTCAACTTCAAAGCCATCCACTAGTGCAACCCTAAACGTGTGAGAAAAGCTCCCACCCAGCATCTAAGTTATGTTTGTCCATAAAGCATTTGGCTGGTCTGTCTGGACTGGTTTCCAGTCTTGTATTTTGTAAGTATCAGCTCCTCCTTTCCTCCCAGGAAATCACTTTTCTGATGGATTTGTTGCTTGAGGTGTTTTTAAGGAAGTAAAAAAAAAAATAGCAAAAGCTCTGAAGCATGACTGGACTTCTTATGTCAGAGCTGCAAGAGCTGCAAGGATGCTGGGCCACAGCAAACATGAGAACACTAGATTTAGGGATCCTAAATCAGGGGGATCAACAGGCCCATACAACCTAAAGTAAAGTGAGGATGCTTCCATCCGAGTTTTCACCTGGGGTACGACAGCCTCCTGTCGTTAGACAGCCTCCTGCAGTTCTGCAGCAATGAAGGCAGCAGGTGAGGGGAACACATAGAGAAACTATTGTGGAGAGCACTGAATAAAGCAAGCCCTTTAATTATCACGATGTGCTTTTTCTGCATAAGCCATAAAGCACATGGCCCTTCAGCCTAGTTGGTTCTTCTCTCATGGAGGAAAGAAAACAAATCCAGGTTTTTTTAGACCTGTGACTCCACCCAGCACTATCCTGTACACATTTTCAAGCACAGACACAGGTTGGCAGTGGGTGCACCCACTCAGCTGGCTCTGTGGTGGGATCTCTGGTGTCCTTTCAGAGGCGCAGGTGGGGTCAGAGGATTTTCCAAGGCCACAGCACTCTAGCGGAAGAGACAGGAACAAGTCTGGGAGTCACAGAAGTATTCACCATTTGTTGACTCTTGGCAGGTTGCTGCATTACCTTTGATGAATGCCCCTGTGGTCTCTTAAAATGAATTAGTGACTATCCAGCACTCCCAAAACAAGGCAGCTCCTCAGAAAAGGATTTGAGAGATGAGAGTAACCAGGTGGGAAACCTATGTATCTGGTAGCTGAGTCTCTGTCTCTGAGAAACAAATCAGTCTCTTTTATAAAGGATTGATAGTTTGAAATCTAGGCCTTTCAAAGCAAGACTGAAAAATATGACAGTCCTACCACTGACTCTTCACAAGCTGGAGTCCTAAAATCCCTTTCTTCCCACATCCTCCTTTGTTTGCCAGGTAAAAATCTAGAAAAAAAAGAATTGTCCAACTTTCTGTAATAAAGAAGCTGCCTGCAGAGTACCATTCACCAAAACAGCTCAGCAAATTGAGTTGCTCACTGCTGGAGGTCAGAGTCCTGCCCATTTCCCCACCCTTCTCTCAGTCCAGGCACCAGTTTGACTCACCAAGAACCTCAGTGAAGGCAGTGACTAGTTTTCCCAGGGCTAGGGAGCCAAGCTGACTCTCTGAAGACCGGGATGATCCCCAGATGTCCCTTACTCCACAAGCACTGCAGCAGGCACACCAGGGAACCACAAGGAACACTGGGCTGGAAATAGGGCAGAGAAAAGATCTGACCCCCATCACTAGCAGTGAGCTCTGCTCTCAGAGAAGCTCAGCTGCCTTGCTGGATTGTCCTATATGTCACTGCCGCACTTACACTGCTGACTCACACGGGGAGCTCACTTCCACATGCTTTTGACCCAAAGATCTGATGGCAAAAGCTGCTGAAGCAGACGGTGGTGAACACAACAGCCCTTACAGCAGCACAGCTTACAAGAAGCACATGCTGGCAGAAAGGGCTGCTTAGTTGGTGGAGCTGCCTCCTTCCTAGGACCATTTTGCCAGTATAATGGTTTTGTCAGGCTGTTAAAACAACTCCTTCAAAGATGGCACAGAAAGACCAAGCAAAGTGAGGTGAGCAGTCAAATGAATGGAAGAAAGAGAACAATCTTCTACTTTTAACCATTGTTAGACCTTTGCCATGGTTTGTGACAGGGCCGGGTCACTTGCAGCATTTCAGTTGATAAATTTCCTTTTAGCACGAAGGTCACGCAAGACCAAGAAGTCCACCTTGCAATTTGGCATAGGCTACAGCCTCATGCAATCTTCACTTACCATGCCATAATCTGAGGTGAAGAGCACATTTCCATCGGCACATGAGCCAACAGTGCATGGCTGCAGCTGGTCCTGCTCCCGCAGCCAGACCCTGGCACCCTGCAAAAAAACAGAAGGACCTCCCATCAGAAAGAACTGGAGCCTGTGAGACCTGCACACAGGGTGCAAACACACAAGGAAAGCTGGGGGAAGTGGCAGTACTCAAAGGCTACTTCCAAGCCACAGCTGCTTAAAATTTTTAAGCAAGTTCTACTTATGCTTAAGAGAAACTGGTTTTGATTTTTTTTTTAATGTAACATGAGGGGGAAAAATAGTAGTTTTAATCAACTTCATGTGGAAACCAATGTAAGGAAACAACAGCTTTTATAGAAAGAGTCAAGGAAAGATACAAACACACAGAATAGTGGGTTTAACTGTCTAAATATTTTCAAACTTAGACTAGCCAAACATTAAAAGTCATGCTACAATAATAATAGAAAATGTAAATAAAACATGTTTACAATTTCATACACCCACACATCATTGTAAGTCAAAATGCTTCCAGCAATCGTCAGCAACTAGACTTCACAGAGCTCTGTTTGCTCTGCTGCAAGTTTCCTTCAGTAAATGACATGACTTGAGTGTTTCTCTGATGTATATACACACTGATGTATATACCATGACCCTCATGTATATATAGCTTCACACACACTACATCATCTTGAGTTGCTCAGCATCTCTCAAGACAACACTGAGCACAAAGTCAGACTTTTGAGAACACATGCAGGGATCTGCAGGGCAAGCAGATCTCATAGCTTGCCTACCAAAAAAGCACAGGGGAAATCAGCTTGCTGGATCAGCCTCTTCTGCCCTGCCTGACTGTGGGACCTGGTACAAGGGAAGGAGCAGGAGCACAAAGGCAAATCAGGGAGAGCACAACCTGAAGCTACACAGAATTAGGCATAACATCACACTGCATTTCAGTTTTTGCAAACTAATCTGTTCCACGTCTTTCCATGGAAATAATATAAACTCTGTCAGACAGGTACTGAGAGAAGCCAAAGTGCTGATCTGTCAAGTGACATTAAGGCCATTCTGTTTTTCATCGATTCATAGACCCACTTTCTTCCCAATTTGTTTTCTGCCCCTAAGTTATTGATTATAAGAGCCCTTCCTAGCCTCTTAAACCTGTCAGCACCATTAGCTCTTTGCTTATAGGCTTATTACGTCTGAAGAGATGCAACAGTATTTCTGTATTACATTATACAGAATGTGGAACACTGATTCTATTTTTAATGATTCATTTTCATTTTAAACTACTTCAGTCACTGTAAACACTTTAGTACCCTGGATTTTCCTTATTGTAGAAAATAAGTCTACTGGCCAACCTCCAATCCTCCCAATAAAAGAACTGGTTTTCATGACATTAAAAAAGACCTACATAATTCTAGTTTTGCTGCTGTGTTCTGCTCTAGAGTTTCCACAGCAGGCAGATTAATTTCCCCTCATCAAGTGAATGAAAAGCACCAGTGCATCTGATCAGTACCGAAACCCAAGGCTAGTGTGTGAAGATCACGCTCATGGCCTTTGAGCAACAGCAATAGAAATAAATGTGTTCTTATGTTATGTTAAAGATCAAAGTTTCAAGATCCCAGAGAGCTGATAAGCAACACATTGAATACAATTTTGAAGAACTACGTAGAGGTCTTCATGCCGTCCTATCACATTTTCTGAAACTCTTGATGCTCGAGACAAAGTGTCCTTGAGGCATCTGGGCAAGACACTGCTGTTCAGAAATCCTGTTTCCCAAATTACGCTCTGACCATCCCGCATAAACATATGAATAGCAACACACATTAGTAGATCTTTATGCTACTTTCACCAAAGGCTCCTACTACCATCACAGTATAAAGCAGAGAGTCAGAAAGGAGCAAAGTTGTGTCTGGAGTTCTCAACAGTGGGATGAAAGAAAACTTTTTCTAATATACTTATCATAAACACTCATTCTTAACAGTGCATTTCAGTGCCTTCACACACCAGTAACCCAGGAGCCTGCAGGAGAGAGTGATAGCTGATAATGTGACACATAACAGAGAGACTCCACACGCATGAACACTTACTAGATACCATTTAGAAGGAAAAAGAGGGAGATGGACAATGAGATCCCTCTGGTATTGTCAACATCTAAAAATCGTCAGAAAGTCTAGAATGACCCAGACTGTTTTCCCAGAAGTTCACATGCAAAAGTAGTAACAAATATTCGCAAAAGGAGATGTGGTTCTTTTGTACAATGGTGCACCATTTCCTATAGACTTGTGGCAAATCCTTCTGCTTGTTACAGAGAAGGCAACACGATGAAACTGCCAGGCACTGTGGCATTTCAGCTGCCCAGAACTACTTACTTCAGTTTACTTTGATGTGTAGCCGTTTTTACAACAGTAATTGCCTCTGCCCAGTAGAATAACTGGACCCATTTATGTTGCTTCCAAAAGGGACGTCATGCTGAGACAGCCAGAATAAGAACCACAGAGCAAATAATTATTGTAACTTCTGCCCAGCATAGACCCCATTTCCTGAAAGGCTGAGTTTGTTTTAGTGCATCCCCTTCCATCAGCCCTTTTTTCTAAACATGAAATTCCCCAAGGAGCCTTGACTAAACACAGAAACAGATGGTGACACCAGAGAGACTGCCCTCACATCACTTCTCTCTCCTCCAATACCACACATTTCATTGATCAGTTGAAAGGATTAAATTGAGCAGAAAACTTCCCAGAACTGCCAGGCAGTGAGGCTGAACTTCCACTGCAGAAGCAAGGGCAGCAAAACAGAGCATGGCCCAGCACTGCAGCGCAGCAGCCTGCCAGCTCCGGGGTGTCCCAGCTCCCACAGGTGTCACAGATGATGGAAAAAACTCTGCTCTCCTATCTCAAGAGTAAAAATATACTCAGTTTCTAAACTGGGATACAGAAGTGCTTGCCTACATCCTGAGACACAACAGTTGAACAAAACGAAACAACAAGCAAGGACTGATTTGAAAAGAACACATTAAAAGACAGCTAAGGAAGCAAAGTGATGATTTCCTGTAACCACTTCCATCAAATTAAGCTGATGGTTAACCTGAGTTATATTGATGACAACTGCTCATCCCCTCCCAATTCTTCTTTTAACTAGGAGTTTGTTAGGGGTGGTTTTGTCAAGTGGAGCAACAAAAGAGGTACTGAAAGAAAGAACAAAGTAGTAATGTACCGGAGTTCCTGTATCAAGAGTAGGTCACTTGGATGTTAAATGAACTCTTAGAGATCAACATCCTCATTCCTATGGCCTCAGAGACAATCTGTCCATGAACTGGCCTTGCCACAAAGTGCATAGCAAAGCACAATCCTGAAAACTGATCCCATAACATGGGGTTATAATTTAGAAAATAAAGTCGCTTGCATACCAAAAGCAGTGTTTCATCAGTACTGCCTCACTCTCACACCATGATGTCTTCCACCGTGGGCAGTAAACTCTAAGATGTTATTTTGTTCCGTTCACACAACACCTGGCACTTTAGGATCCTAGAGTTAGAAATAAATCTTGTACCCTGTGGCCCAGGGAAGGGCCACAGAGGCAGACGAGCAGCACGCAACCCCGACTGCAGAAGCAAGGTACCCACGCATTAAAGCAGAGTGCGCAGCCGCCAGCGCGTGCCCCCTCCTCATCGGCTGTCCAGCTACTGAGAGCATAAGTAAGCTCCAGAGGACAAGACGCAGAAATCTGTACCTGCAGGTGCCTTTGCCTCTGCAGGGCCTCCCAGCCCAGCACGAGACACATTCAGGGATCGACACGAGCAAGCCACTACTCTGCAACTGCACCACACTTCAGAAACAGGTCATCATATCCTGCTCTCCTCTTACTTGTGTAGTCTGGACTAGCCTTGAATCATCGTGTTCCCCCAGGATGTCCTCTCTCTTCCAGAAACTGCTTCTTCCCAGACACAAGCAAGAACAAGCTGCCCCAACTGTATGGAATTTGAGGGGGCAGTTAGCAGTGCTGCCTCTCTCCAGCAGCACTCAGATACCTCACTCCTCCTTGTGCACAAACCTGCATAACTCCCAGGAGCAACATGCTCAGGAGGGGCTACGAACAGGATGGGTGCATCAATTTTCCAGGAGTTATTCAGAGAAGAAAAGTGCTTTTGGTTGGAAGACACCTTCCAGCGTATGAAATATGCATACAATTTGTCTCCTACTTCCATTAAGGAATGTTTTTATAATGTTTTCTTTGTGAATGAACACAGCTCTCTTAGCCTCCAGATCTATGTGCAAACACAATACTACAAGAGGCTCTTGCAGTGCCTTGGTTTGGGTAACTATCCCTGATCACTCCTGCAGCCATTCTACAGGGGGCATCTCAAAAATGTACATGCCTGTACTGTGAGTCAAGCCAAAAATCTCTGTGGGTGCTGTAAGTTTTTCAGCTAAGCATTATGAATATACATCCCGTTGTCCGCCTGGCTCATTGAGGCCGTTCAGTGGACATTAGGCATCCAAGCCTTGTGTTTTTCCTGATGATGGATCTGCATGTTCCTAGGCTTGGAAGCAGCACCATGCTAAGCCAGCTCTCTTCTCAGCCTCAATGGGCTTTGTGGTTGTAGACCACACAGCAGTGATTGGGCTAGAAAGGCCCTTGCAATCCAGACAAAGCCATGATCAGGTTTCAATAAATGCACTTTTCAACAGATTGATCTAGATGATCATGAATAAGTGATAGGACAGATATAAAGAGACTTAGCTAATGGATACAAGATTGGTGGGGAGGGGGAGTCTCTGACATCCTAGACCCATACGGGAAGGAATGCAACCTTGCTGTTTTTCTGATGTCAGGCTGAAATGAAGTCATACAGCCAGGCCCTAGGTTATACCCCATCAGCAAAACCTACACCAGCTGCTGGAAGCAAGAGGACAACACAGGAGGCCACAGGTAAGAGAGAGACAGAAGCAAGAACAGCTGAGCTGGCAGCAGCCAACACGGAGCAACTGGGAATAGGGACAATACCTGCAGCAGCAGGGATAACGGGGAAAAAAACAAAGTCTACTTCTTGTAAAGCACAAGGATGACACACTGCAAAACAAAAAAGG